TTCAAACTGCTTTGCCACATGGAGACCAAGCACCCTGTGCACAAGTTCAAGGGTCCATTAGTCGTTTTTGTGAGTTAAAATTTTCATCCATCCATCCATCCGTCCATTTTCTGATCATCCTTCTCCCTAACGGGGTCAGGAGGTGCTGGTGTCTATCTCCAGCTGCGTTCCGGGCGAGAGGCGGGGTTCACCCTGGACAGGTCGCCAGTCTGTCGCAGGGAAACACAGAGACAAACAGGACAAACAACCATGCACACACACTCACACCTAGGGAGAATTTGGAAAGACCAATTAACCTGACAGTCATGTTTTTGGACTGTGGGAGGAAGCCGGAGAACCCGGAGAGAACCTGGAGAACCTGGAGAGAACCCACACACCCACAGGGAGAACATGCAAACTCCGTGCAGAAAGACCCCGGGCCGGGAATCGAACCCAGGACCTTCTTGCTGCAAGGCAACAGTGCTACCAACTGTGCAACCCAGTTAAAATTTTCATGAAAGTAAAATGTTAGTTTTTGTTGCTCATCTATATCTTATTTTGAAGGGATGTTTAAGCGTTACCATAGCGACCAGGGTCAGAGAGCATAAGGCAGTGCTTCTCAAATAGTGGGGCGGGCCCCCTTTGGGGGGCGCGGTGCGATACCTGGGGGGGCGTGTGATCCTGGGGAACAGGCTTTTTTTTGGCCGTACTAGTATAAAGTGTAATTGCGCACAGTAGGCGGCAGTGGCGCTCTCATTGTTACTTCTGTCACGTTTGCGACAGTGCAACATTTTACGACTTACAAGACAACAGGTTTGCCTTGGTTAGCAGTGTTAAGTCAACAAAAAGCTCCGACTGCGTTCTGTCTCTGGCCTCCGTTATTCAACAACCCCAACATGAAAAAGTTTTTCACAGGGATGAAAAGAAAAGCGGAGAGAGACAAAGATAATGAGACAACAGAAAGTCAACCGAAAGCTAAGAAGAGGAAATACGACGAAGCGTATTTAGCGCTTGGCTTCACTGTGACTACAGTTGGAGAAGAGGAAAGACCGGTGTGTTTGCTGTGTCTAAAAATGCTCGCAGCGGACAGCATGAAGCCAAATAAATTAGCGCGTCACTTAAATACGTTACATCCCAATCACGGCGGTAAGCCGCTAGAATTTTTTCAGCGAAAATATGTTAATAAGGAAAAAATGTTATGCAGAGATGGATAGTCACGGTGGGGAGTGGGGGGCGCGAATAGTTTTCTTCTTGCTAGGGGGGCGTAACGGAAAATAATTGAGAAGCACTGGCATAAGGGCAGTGGTCGAGACAAGAGTAAAGCTTCTGAGTCCTAAATCTGGTTCACACGGCATGATTTAAGAAATGTCATCCAATTTTCCAAAACTCTGTGACCACAGAGCTGATAAAAGTCCAACAGGTTCGATCGGTTCGTGTGTCCAGCCACAGGCAGGAGCAACACATCACAAGAACCGATTCCACTTGCATCCCAGTTCTAGAAGAAAATCCAGTAAAACCAACAAAATACCATAGTGAATTTAGAATAATCAAACATGGATGACGATGTAGAAGCAACAGTGAGTTTGTGGACTCATTTTAAGCGATAAAAGACGGCAGGAGCAGCAGCTCTATTTGCTGCACTATGATTTGGAGGAGAGTTATTTTGTAGTTAACATTATTAACTGAATAAACATAACCACATATAATAAACATTTCTTTATACATATAACCTCCAATGTTCACTGGACTCTTAGTTGCCATGTCAACTGTTTGGGATGCCCCTCCTATTTTACGTCACCTTGCTTTCTGATTGGCTACCTGTCACATTCAATAGGCTGCGTTCTGCTCCCAGTCAGAGAAAACCCCACAGGCTGCGATAGTCGGGCCAAGACAATGTTGACAACTCATCACCAAGTAACCACCACACACTGCAGGATGTTGTGAGATTGTTATAAAGGGAAAATCGGGGCAAAAAAGGGGCTTTAGCAGAAACACAAAGATACAGAAGCGTTATCTGATGTTCCTGCCCCCCACTGGACCGCAGCAAAATTGCGAAGTCTTGACCGGCCCGCAATAATAAAATGGTTGGAGACCACTGCTGTAGATGACAGACTTATGCTGGAAGTCTTAAGTGCACAGAGCGAAAAGGAATGGTGAGAGTACAGTCACCTGTAGTTAGACTACCTGGTTAGAAACTGTCCTTCAGTCTCACAAACTGTGTCTGTTGTTGAGGTAATCATAGATCCAGGCAAATGACTGATGGGTGAGTTTCTTCTGTACTGTACTGTTGTCTTTCACAACAGTGGAACATTCTCTTAGGTCAGGCTAATATTGAAGAGATGTTGCAAAATCCCACAGGCTCTCAGGACTCTGAGGCTGACACCATCTGAACCTGCAGCCTTGTTCCGGTTTTTCTGTCCAGTTGCCTCTTCACCTGACTTCCAGATACAGAAAAGTGGAAGGCAGAGGCAAAGGGAGCAGCAGCATCTCCTGATTTAGTTTAAGACAAACTTGTGGAAGCAGAAGAGTCCATGACTGAGGTGGAAGATAGGACATCTGAGGTGTGACAGGAAAGCAGTGGCTTAGAACATGGTGGGATGTTTGTATAACTGGGGACAGGAGAGGATGAGGATGTTCCTGAAGCGATTGAAAGCAGCTATCTGATCCTCCTCTTTCTTGAAGCCTGTAATCTTCTTCATCCCTGACCACACATCTCTGATATTATTCCCCTCCAGTTTATTCTCCAGCTTCCTCCTGTGCTTCTCCTTACTGTCTCTAATATGGACTTCACACAGGCTCACCAAAATTGGACAATTGAGTATTGGAAAATGTCTGGTCTGATGAGTCTCAATTTCTGCTGCAACATTCGGATGGTAGAGTCAGAGTTTGGTGTCAACAAGATAAAACCATCCTGCAGTTCAGGCTGATGGTGGTGGTGCAGTGGTGTGGGGATATTTTCTGGGCACACTTTGGGCCCATTAGTACCAATTGAGCATCGTGTCAGTGCCACAGCCTACTTGAGTATTGTTGCTGACCATGTCCATAAAGGGATGGTTTTCTATGTCCACCCCTTTATGACCATCTCGATGGCTGCTTCCAGCAGGATAACGTGCCATGTCATAAACCATGAATCGTCTCAGACTGGTTTCTTGAACACAACAATGAGTTCACTGAACTCAAATGGCCTCAACAGCCAATAGAGAACCTTTGGGATGTGATGGAATGGGAGATTCACATGTGCAGCTGACAAAATCTGCAGCAACTGCTGGATGTTGATCATGTCAATATGGACCAGACTCTGTGAGGAATGTTTCCAGTACCTTGTAGAATCTATGCCACAAAGGATTAAGGCAGTTCTGGAGGCAAAAGGGGGGTTCCAACTGGGTACTAGAAAAGTATACTTAGTACAAGGTTTACTTTATATATATATGTATGTATGTATGTTGTTCATTTGCTGATATTACAGGTGAATGTCATGTAATATCGGAAAAGGTGAAAAGATAGCTGAAGATCTTGCCGGTGAGTGTATATAGTAAGACACAAATTCAGTCATGGCACTGACTTCATCTCCATCTAAATAGTCCAATCAGTTCCTTCAAAACAACCCTGGAGAGCCTCTTCTGCTTCCCGTAGCCACTTCCTAAGTCTACTATTACATTGCATATTCTGTTGTCAGCTTCTCCTCTATCCCCCTTTTTATCACTTAATAGTATGTCAGGGCTCTTTGACAGCATGACAAATATATTGAATATTTGAATTGCTGCCTGTACAGCGATCTCTGTGTAGGGAAATTTCAATTATTGTTTTGTTCAAAGTGTTTCATGAGAGTCTTTTTTTTGCATCCATAGGTAGTTGGGAACTGAACTGCCAAAAGCATTGTAATAAATTCACTGTGCCACCCAAATTTTCTGATGACCAAAACAAGTGTACATGGGCAACGAAATAGTATCAGAATAAGCTGCCACGGCTCCTACTACGCTGTTTTATGCAGCAAAACCTCCAAAATAATGAAGAACCACAAACTCACAATGAAAAGTACCCTCTTTTTTATTTTTTTGTCATTTCTTCCTCCTAGGATTTTGTTGGCTCTAATGGCTTGTATTTTTTGGAATTAGGCTGACAGAAAAGAGGAGACGGAGAGACATGCGGCACATGTCGCCAGGACCGGGAGTCGAACCCCCAAAGGCCTCGTGGAGGCCTGAGGCCTCCATACGTAACGCCCTATGCCACCACAGTGCACCCTCTTCTGACACATGGTCGGCAGTCATGTGTCTCCAAACTATCCAAGTTTTCTGATAAAGTGTCAGTTTTATCTGATGGCCATCAACAGATAAAATGTTTAGAATGGTGGAAAAACTGGCCCACCAAAAGAGAGACAAAGTCTTTTAGTGCTTAGAATGAGCAATCACAGGGAACAGACATCACTCCTGAATCATATCTTTCCATATTTGGAGTGATAGTCATCACAGAGTGAGAGAGGAAAAGTTTGGGAATCATGCTCACCCATATCTGTGACAATTAGGATCCCCAATATCTTGGTATCAACATAATCAACTTTTAAAACTAGATCGTTTGAATCAGCGAACAAGGAGCACACAGTCTCATTAGTGAATGCTGCAGTGATGTTTGGGCAGTGACAGAGCTGCTACACTGAACGACAGATGCTGATGATGCTCTTCAAAAGGGCAACAAGCCATGTGCATGTGTGGATGAAAGGTATATTTTTGTCAAATCACTTAGGAGAAACTGTCCACTTTTCTGCTTGGATTTAGTTTTACTACTTAGATGTCTTTATAGTCTGTGGGTCAAAGCATATGCTTAAAATAATAAAAATAGAAGACAGGAACACCTAGTATCTCTCTTTATGTACAAATTTTTATGTTGCCTGGACAAGAAGTATAAAATTTTCAACCTATGGGTCTCAAATATTTGACTTGTCTACATGATATCAACAAATACATACAGGTTGGATATCTCTGCAAGCTTTGACGGTTGAACAGTATCACCAAGTCTCAACTTACAGAACTGACATCTTTAAAACCGGAGGTAGATTCTTTAGGAGCATTACTTGATGCTGATGATGGGATGAAGGGATCTTTTCCACTGAACGGGTCACATACACCTTTTTTAGCCTGGAAATGGTCTATGACATCAGCACCAAAAGGCTGGAAAGGGTCACATGGTTTGGAAGGATCTGCTGTGGCGATCAAGCTTACTGGTGTTGTTGTACCTGGAGACAAAAGACACATTTAAATAAATAGATAGATAATCAAGACAGATGCATTTTCTTGGAAAACAAATTGATATCCCATAAATAATGTCAGAAAAACTAAAACTACATAAAATTACAAAATATATGTGTAAATTTAAGTGTAAATAAGTTCTTAACATCTGACTAAAACACAAATATGTCTAGCTGATTTCAATTCAGTTTGAACAAATGTTTTGAGGCAAAAAAAAAAACTTATTTTTGTGAAATGTTTTGGAAATATACTTCAGGTCAATAATACCATTTTCAAAAGATAGAAAATAAAATAAGCAATGAAACAAGAAAACTGTCTACACTCCCTGAATAGAGATCGCTTTGTCCTGGGTTCCCATGGGGCTTTAAAATGATTTTTTCTGTCTCTGTCAAAAAGCTCTGGCATTGTTTCATTGATAATGAGAGAGGAAGGACAAATGTAAGTTGCAAATTGTCAGTCTGTCTTCAATCTTTGGCCATTTCTTGACAGTCCTTCATCCGATTTCTAACTGGAATACTCTTTCAGGTTTTGTATTAGTGTAAGATGACACCTTGAAGCTTTCTACAGCCAAAAATATCTCTTTGAGTTCTTGGCAATTTACTTAATGCTTGATTTCAATGGAATCTTAATAACTGAAGTATCTTGTAAGAATCCAATTTAATACAAAGCAAGGTAGGCCATTGGCTGAGAAAAGAATGAAGTGAATAAAGCTAACAGACAAGTGCTGTATTGAGATGATAAAAGCCAAAGTTGCTTCCGGTTTGAAAATGATGTGATATGTTTTTGTTTGGTTGGAGAAATTCTATGAGGTCACAGGGACTGGCAAAAACTAGAGTTTTTTTTTTGTTTTTTGAAAAGGCTTATAGCAGTTGACCATGTCATGAGGCACTCACCGCTAGGTGGTTTGGACCTTGGTGGTATACTTCTTTTAGGTGGCAGGGCTGGCATGTCTGTTTTCCTGGTGAAAGGGTCATCTATGAACACTGGCTAGAACAGAAAAAACGTGCAGAAATCAATAGATTTTTTTTTCAGAAATATTAATCCTGAAAAAACATCACTGGATTCAGGACACCTGTTGGACAACATATTAAGCTTATTGCCAGTATTTTTTACCCATAAATATATAGTCAAGCATGAATTTATTCTTATTTACATTATTGTTAAAAAATGCCAGAGTGAAATTGATTTATTACTTTGCTGGCAGTGCGGTTGAGTGGACAAGGCGTAAACAGATACCACAGGTTTGTTTGAAAACAACACATTTTTGTGTTAGATGTTATAATGTAATTGTCCCCGGTGGAACAGGGCTCAGTTCCTCAACACTGCTACATTTTGGGTCTGAGTTGTTCCATCATCATCATCTGTTACTGTACAGCATACTTCAGAAACAAAGTGCTTTACATCATAAAAATACAAAAAACAAAAATCATGCAAATTGACAATTGATACATTACATTTAGTCAAGTTAAATTCTTCATCCATTATGCTTCAAAGGCAACTCCAAACAGGTGGGTTTTCAGTCTAGATTTAAAGGCACTCACTGTTTTAGCACCTTTACAGTTTTCTGAAAGTTTGTTCCAGATTTGTGGAACATAGATGCTGAATTATGCTTCTCCTCATGTGGTTCTGGAGATGCCGACCAGAACCAGAACCAGAACCTGAACCCGGGGGCTCTGGAAGGTTGATACAGCAGATCTTTAATGTATTGTGGTGCTGAACCATTCAGTGATTTACAAACTAAGAACAGTTTTTAAAGTCTGTTCTCTGAGCTACAGGGAGCCAGTGGAGGGACTGTAGAACTGGGTTTATGTGCTCCAACTTCCTACCTGCTTCAACAGGAAAACTACTTTCGTACTCGACTTTCTGCCTTATTTGTATTGGGAACTAACGAGATGGTTAGTTAGGAGGTAGATTGTTGAACAACTTAGACGTTTCAAAGAAAAGACATGGGAGGAATGTTGAGAAACCTTGAAACATTAGCACAGACATCAGGACAAAATGTCTCTGAGACAGTGATGGATATGACAAAGTCAGCCTTCTATCACTGAAGAACATCTCCAGGATTAGAGGACTAATGTCTCAGCCAGATCTAGAGAAACTCATCCATGTGTTTATCTTTAGTCGCATTGATTATTGTAACAGTGTCTTCACAGGCCTGTCCAACAAATCAATCCTCCAGCTGCAGCTGATCCAGAAGCTGCTGCTCCTGTTCTCACTAAAACCAGGAAGATAGAGACATAACAGCAGTTTTAAAGTCCCTCCACTGGCTCCCTGTAGCTCAAAGAATAGATTTTAAAATACTGTTAGTTTATAAATCACTGAACGGTTTAGCACCGCAATACATTAAAGATCTGCTGTTGTTGTATCAACCTTCCAGACTCTCAGGTTCTGGTTCTGGTTCTGCTCTGCATCCCCAGAACCAGAACCAAGAGAGGAGAAGCAGCTTTCAGCATCTATGCACCAAAACTTTTGGAACAAACTTCCAGAAAACTGTAAAACAGCAGAAACCCTGACTTCCTTTAAATCTCGACTAAAAACCCACCTGTTTAGAATTGGATTTGAAATGTAATATGTAACAATGTATTGTTTATTCCATGATGCATGACTTTGTGTTTTTGTGTTTATGATGTAAAGCACTTTGAAATGCCTTGCTGCTGAAATGTGCTCTACAAATAAAATTTGATTGATTGATGAGTTCATCTGTCCAAGCAGTCAGCCAATGAAACAAGCACAGCAATGCAAATGCACCAAAAGTGTGATAAACCCTATATAAGTGGAGAGCAAAAAAGGAATCTTTGGTTGGATCCTCCAGGCAGCTTCGAGCCAAGACCAAGACGGACAAAGAACTCTGCAGCTAAAGAAGAGAAGGGGCCACAGAGCCGAAGACTGTCCTGCGCACGGGAACCAACCCATCAGCCCCGCAACATGTGGCTTCAAATCGCACTTCTCTCATCAGCTGGGTTAAGACCCAAAGACAAAGATGAAGATCAAGGCAAAGATAAAGACCCAAGTCCTGTGTGACCTCACCATCGATGCAGAGATGAAAGCTCATCAGACCAACAGAGATCCCTGCCTTCATCAATCATCCTCCTCCTGCTGCAACATCTTCTTCATCATTGAGCCAGTTCTGGGGTTCGAAACACCAAACTTCTTCCATCTTAGTTCTTAGTATCAGCGTTAGGGAAAGATAGGCTAGTTAATTGATTTTACTTATTTGATTATTTCTGCTATTTGATTAAGCTGACCCTTGCAAAATTGCTTTACTAATGAAATATTTAGCATAAAGAAAATCTAAAAGATGTTGTGGACATTCAGTTAATGAGTCACCTCAAAGTTCTTTGATGGTAGTAAAATAGCTGTGATGTTTGATTCTGGGGAAGAAAAGTAGGAAATGTTTTATAGGTTGCTTTAGCCCAAATCTAAAACAACATCCTTGGACTCACCAGTCACTAAAACCAGCCTGGTTCAGTAACAAATACACATTGTAATAAAGAGAAGGAGCGACCGTTAACAGATGTGCTCTGTGGAACCAGTTGGCTGCAGGCTGCTCAGTCTGGCTAATTCACAGGGGGAAGAAGGGTGAGACATCTGGATGTAGGCCGTCAGTAACCAGGCAAATTCATTCTTGATTCAGCTTAAACAGTTTTACTTCAGTTCTGAAAAGGGTAAATCCCAGCAGATGTAGGAAACTCAATTCACCTGTTAGATGGAGAGATGGTAGGACATCTCCCCTCTCAGAAGAGGAAGTCGAAGGGAGAAGAGGGGAGGTGTTGCAACAACAACACACTTTAAATCACTCCCAAAAAACTGAGACAGATACCTCTCCATTAACACTAAAAAAAAGAAAATCTAAATCTTTGCTGATATAGTCTTGAAATATAGTCTTGAAATTATTTATTTGAATTGAAGGGGGTTATACATTTCCAATTAAACAAAAGAGCATTAAGGTCATAGTGGATCTGTGTTACAAGAGGAGCGTGATCTGAAATTAAGATGCTGTGATACATAATACGTGAAATTAAGTTAGAATCAATGAAAAAGTGGCCAATTCTGGTAAAGCCACTGTGTGGGAGAAAAACTTTGTATTTACAATCAAAAGGATGTTGAAGCTTCAGATAAACTAAATTTATTGACTTTATGAAATCATATATAACTGCCTGATTTCAGAGAAGCATTGGAGGACCATCCAATATGGGATAACAATTGAAGTCTCCTCCTAAAATTACATCCTCATGTTATGAAGATTTTCTTGAACATCTTGTGTTTTGTGTTCAACTTGGGGTCGGATGGATAGGATGATTTTTGGCTTATGTTGAAGATATTCAATGTAAGAACCTCTTGTACGTTCAGCATCTTATGTTGAGTAGAAGATGTTCTTCATCTTGTGTTGAACATCTCATATAATTATGAAATGTTGATGTTGAACAACAGTAATATTGTTCATCAACATAAGAGCTGATGTTCACAAAATCAAGCTACATTTTGTTTTGTTGTGTTACGAGAGGTATTTTTTATAATTCACTTCCTGAAAAAATATAAAGGAATAACTAAAAAGTTCCAAATTGTTGACTTTTTGTCCCTTTTTGTCCCAGTAATTACTTCTGAAGTAATTCAAAATTTATATATATACAATAATAAACTTTCACTGTGGAAAAGAAAACTGCTACAACCCTTGGTTTATGATTAAAAAAAGAGTGCAGTTCTGCTGATTGTCTTTTTGTATTGTATAACTCAATTTAATCTTTTTAATCATGTATTTTTGAGTTGAATTGATAAATAATAGATTGTTTCATCATGCAAAATAGATTTTGGATTTAAAATTCAATTAATTTGCTCTATTTTGGGGGATTTGTTAGGGCGGGTCATTTTTGACCCATAGGACAAAGGGAGTAAAACAGAATGTTAGGATGATGCACAAGGGTTAAACGAAGGCACTGACACAGCTCTGGAAAACAGGTCTACTCTATTTCTGCTCAAGAAACCAGCAAGTTTTTTTTGTGTGTGTGGTTTTGGTAACTGACAGACAGACAAGACACCCCATCCCCATTGTTCATCCTGAGCATCGCACTGGGAATCTGAAAGACTTAAAGGAATATAATAAACTTAAAAAATATTACGGTACATTAGAAAATTTTTGAAAGACCTTCAATTAATTTGCAATTAATTGCGAGTCAACTATAGACAGTTAAATATTTTAATTGATTACCCTACATAAATTTTATTTGTGACTTCAGGTGAAACCATTTCAATTTTTTGTTTTAACAAATAATATTAACAGTTTGGTCCTACTTGTTCATGGTTAACTAAAAATGGCAGCGATTTCAATTAGGGTTTTCATTCTGAGCCATATAGAAACCTGCATAAAGTAATAAAGATGAAACATTCACATGAGTCCCATACCTTCTGATAATCTGGAAGCCAGTTGGCTCTTCCTTCAAAGGGGTCTCTGGCTTTTGACATGTGGGTGAAGTCTGCAAAGCCAGTGCAGCTGTTTGTGGGTCCAAAGGGGTCCAGTGTTGAGAATAGATCTACAAATAACATGTAACAGTGTTCCAGTGAATAAAAACCCTAAAGATTCAGCAAACACAGATATCTGAAGACTTTTGCTTCAAACGTTGTGAGAACATGGTGCCTTCCTGTTCCAACATGACAGTGCACAAAGTGAGACCTCTAAAGACATGAATGAGTCATTTTATATGACCTTGACTTTGAGTGTAAGGTGACAGACCTGACGAAGGTTGTGTCGGAAGAATGGTTAAAACTTCTCAAAAAACCCACACTTTTAGAAAGTAGGAATATGGTATACAGTAGAGATGATAGAAATTTGACCTATGATATCTGTAGTCTACTGGCTAACCGAAAAAGTGCTTTTTAATGACGCAATTGGCTGGCATCAAAACAGAGCAAGCAGGAAGCAGCATGGCTGAGAGGCAAAGGAAGAGCCTGTTAAAAAGGCAAGAGCAAAAACGACAATTATCTAGGTCGGCGGTTTTCAAAGTGTGAGGCGCCAACCTCACACTTTGAAATTAACCAAAGAAGAAGCTATCCGCTTGCTGTCTGCTGGTGTGAGCGAAAAAGATTGACAAATTTTTAGTAAACGTGTTCATCTCCTTCATTTCAACCTATCTCTGTGAATGTGGGTTTTCCGCACTCGCAATGATAAAAAGCAAATCCCGGTCAGGGCTGCTGGTTGAAGATGATCTGCGGTTATACCGCTCCACAGTGCAACCCCGCATTAACCGGATTTGCGCATCAAAAGCACAAGCACATTGTTCCCACTAAAACGAAGGTGAGCTGAACAGTAATGTTGCCAATGTGTTGCCACGTTGCCAATTTAGTTAAAATCATAAATAAAATGAGTTACACATGATTCAGGACCGTGGTAGGAAAAAGAAAAAAAAATTGTGGACTGCCCCTGTTGGTCAGGGGCCCCTGTAATTGTCATAACTTTCCCCTCTACATGGCGCCTCTGTCATGTCTTTGTCTCTCTAGTATATCAGGTTTTCTTTACTCTTAATGTGTGTTCTTGTAATATTACAGGGAGCTGAAGTATTTTCAGCTCCCTGTTTCCTCCCTTTTGTTTTCCACAGCAGATCTTAGCTTCCTTGTGCCATCTTCTCCCAACCCCTCAGCTAGTTCCTGTGCCAACTACTCTCACCTGCAATCATTCATCTCATCTAGTTGTTCCATTTACTGTTTCCCAGTATTTAAGCTTCTCCATCTCAGTCACAACTTGCTAGTCTGTCTCGTTACCACGTTGCTAGTCACTACCTCTGTTAACCTGGTGTCTCCCATTTCCTTTTATTTTGGATTTTCTTGTTCCCCTGGATATTGGTTAGTTCATTTTCTTCATTAAAAATATCCACATTAACTATGTCTACTGCCTGCTGAGATTGGGTCCACTCCTACACACATTAGGACAATGAATAGTATAAATAAACACATTAATATTACATAATGTAATATTAGATTAATCTACATTAAGTGAAAATGAACCAGGAGTGTCAGTCTTGGCGTGCTTGGTAGCAAATTTTGTTTTAACAAACACCGCAATGAACGTTTGGATAAAACCAAGACAGTATGTGGCCTTAACCCAACGCTCAGAGCAGTCATTATCCAAAATCTAGTCTAGAGCAATACTCTAATTTGACAGAGAAATTAGGATACACAATATTTACAGGTGCAAAGATATAATTTAATGATTAATTGTACCTGATCCTCTGGGTTTCTGGTGGTTTGTAGAAAATGGGTCACCTCCAGCAAAGTGACTTGTTTGCTGCAGAAAAAAGAAAAAAGTCATTAAGGAAGTATTTTTAACACAAGTCATGGTACACTGTCTTAACATTCCAAATACCTTGGAGGGTAAAGTGGCACTTTTACAAAAAGGATCTATTGTGGAAAAATGATCCATTTTTGTAGTCTTCTTAAAAAAATCTTCTGATGAAGCCTTGAATGGATCTGCTTCTTTAAACGGATCTCCTTCAAAGGGATCTGAGGCAAAATATTGGAACATTATGTATTATTCAGGCATGACCAAATAAGGTACAGAACATCCCAATGCTGATACAATGTCTGTTCCCCAAAGCTTAGGATCACAACAAAAATATTTAGTGTTTTTCCCATTGTCACCATAGCAGACAGGATATCCACAGTTAGTGAAATAAATGTCATTAACACTGTCCGGTCAGTCAGTCACATAGTTGATGTATTTAGGCACACTGTAGCAACAACAACTTAGACTGTGACAAGAATGCACTGTTAAGTATTCAACAAGAACATTTTCAATATCCAGTCCTGCAGTCCATTGTGCAGTGTGCTTTGGACAAAACCACACTGAAATACCGTGAAACCAATACAGCCAAGTGTAATTATCAGAATCTCCTGACTAAAATGAGAATAGACATTTTCATGGAAAAGATTACACAACGGTCACATCTGCAAGTCAAGTCATATGAAATGTTTGTGAACTCTCACCAAAAGGACTATTTGGCTTACTTGTATGAGGTTGGAAGGTTGTTTTCCACAGCTGCGTCAGGACCAGACAGTCTTGCTCCTTGTGTTTTATTCGTTATCATTGTATAAAAACTGACATGTTGTCTCTGCCTGGGAGAGCTTTGCGAGCCTTGCATCCAGACTTGCTTGATTATTGATTGTCTCATGAGTTCTCTGAGTTGTGTACAATTCATAAATAAACCTGATTGAGTGATTTTACCTGAACAGTGCTTGGAAATACTTTTTTTTCCCACAACAACAACATACAGCAATGAACTGTCATCACTTTCCAAACAACTGATTCTGTGAAAATAAACTTATTTATTCTGTGAAAATAATCATTTCCAGATTGGTGTGAAGTTCAGCGAGGAAAACATCAATCATCTTAGGATTCAACTATGTCTATTTATAAAACTTGATGGATTCAATCAACTGGGTACATTAAGGGCATCTCTTTGAGAACATTAAAGTTTGGATGACTTTACACTTTCACCTTTTAAATTCTGACAAGACTGAGGTTGTTTTTGGACCTGAATGTCTGAAAAGGAGCCTGCTTAATCAATCACTTAATCTGTATGGCATTAATTAGTTTGGCCTCCAATAATGAAGACTGCTGGTTTATTGGTGGTTCCTAGAATTTCAGAGTCGGAGGCAGATCCACATCATTTAAAGGCAAAGAAACTCTGGTTTAGATCGAAGTTCTACATTTTCTTTCAGACTGACAATAGCACTTAAGTTATTGATTTGATTGGTCTCTAAAATAAAAGTTGTCCAAAAGTACCTGTCGATGTAGATGATGACTTTCCAAATGGGTCACTTTCAAATGGGTCACCTGAAGTAGAAAAACATGTACAGTAAGAGAAAACATAAGGTGAGAAGGGAAGAATAAAATCTATCAGCAACAAAAAAGGACAAAATTCTGTATGAAAGAAAATACAAGAAATGGGACAGTAAAAGAAATTAGTCCAGGGAAGCCCCCTTCTGTATAAGACAAGATGAATAGGGAAAAAGTAAAGGGTGCAACAACCTTTGAATGGGTCTGTTTTAAATGGGTCTTCAGAGTTGAAAAGGTCCGATTGAAGGTCTTGAGGCTGACTGTAGAACACTGATGACTTAACTTTGAATATATCTTCCTGTAACATGAGAAAAGATTATCTGGATTGTGTAAATGACCAGAGGCATAAACACCACAGACCATCAGTAGAGTTCTTCAACTTTACTAAACATCTGGATTACCATGTGGTTACGCCATCAACTCTTCATTAAACTGATTTTATGCTTTTCATTTTCATTTGAATGACAGATTTTTCAAGGAACAACGGATATGTTTTTTTAGCGTGCTATATTCTACACAAGCCAATAAACAAGCCAATTAACGTCTATTAAAATGATTTTATTTTGACCTTGTATCACAGCTTTTTCACGTTCTTTGTGTATAAAATGTTGAAAAATGTACTGCAATAATAACAAATTCTCATAAAATTAAATTCAATTGAAATGAATAAAAATGAAAAATTACATATAGTTTCGTAATAAAAATAAAAAATTTATTACATTTTAAATTAAAATGAATAAGCCAGCTTTCTCTCTCCCTTATTCTGATAAGTCACTGAATCCATTCAGTGAGTCTACAAATTGATTGGATGATCTTGATAACTTAAACCAGCTTGTTTTATTAATATCTACATATCTGAAATTAAAAAAATCAGTTTATCAATAAATTAATTCTTCAGAGCACCTGATGTAATACTAGAAAAATATGCTGCCAAGTTGGAGCATGGATGGCAGCAGCAGTTTGCAGTGCACATAAGACATGAACATAGCTCAGATTTGAAGTGTATATTAGTTCTCATCCATCCCTTTGTTTATACATGACTTACATAAAGTTTTAGTTAATTGTTATCATTTTACTTGTAAAACCTGGAAGTCACTAAAATAATATCAAACTAAACCTAACGCTACCCAAAAGCAGCCAAAGACAAGGACTAACACTTAAGTGTTAGGGAGTCAGTAACTTTGCTGGTGAAGAGGAAAACATATTTTATAATCACAACAATAATAAATATACTATCATTGCATTTTCAGTTTTAGAAATGATGTTATTCCATCAGAACTGTAACTTCCTCTTCTCCCTACAGAAAATCACCTTAATTGATGGCAGAGTTTAAGTAACCCTGAGATGCTGTGGTTAGTCCAGGGAAGCTCCCTTCTGTATAAGACAAGATGAATATACATCTCCCACAAGGAGATGTATATTCATTGCTCCTGGTAGGTAAGATTACAAAAATATCACTCTTCCCATTTGGTTCCCAGTTTTTATTGCATTGGCTACCATTTGTCATGATGTGTGGTAGAGAGGTGGTGAGGCAGACGCAGTGGAGCCAGGTTGGAGTGAATAAACAACGATTTCATGTGAAAACGCAAATTCAAAGTCCAGAATCCAGGCAGCACAGATGAGCAGACATAAAAAGCTCAGAGCTGGCAGCAACTGGCCAACCATCAAACTGAAACTAACAAGACAAGCTGTGACAGACAGATACAACAAGAACCCGACACAGAACATGGAACACAGGTGACATTAAATACACGGAGGGTAATCAGGGAACACGACACAGCCGGGGACAATCAAGGGGTAGACAGGACAACACCGAGACTCAATTAACTGAAAACGGCACACAAAAACTTAACACAGGGAAAGACCAACTCCTTACACTATTTAGTCATTTAGACAGTTTGGAAAGCAGTTAAACTTTTTTGAACAAAGTTTTTGTTTGTAAATATCTAAACTAATTTGACTTTGGTAGATCAAATGCTTTGCTCAATTTGGAAAAAGAGATAAACCAGCCTTCACAGAACAATGGTGAGAATTTTTGCATGAACATAATAGGACCTTTTTTTGTTTACAAGCAAGGATCATTGTAAGACACCTTTAGCTTGACAAACAAATGTCAGGGTTTGGGAGCTCAGTCCTTGGGAGCTTCTATCACTGTGTGGCGGAGAGCATTCTCTGCACCCACATCACTGTGCGGCACGGTATCTCCACTGCTGCTGGGGAGCAGCCACTACCTCGGACCGCTACACAGGGGTAAGCACTCGGCATCATGAAGGACTCCTCCCATCCTGCACACAGACTGTTTCAGCATCTCTCCAGACTGACAGCATCCAGAGCAAAACCACTAAAAATCAGCCTCTACCCTGATGCACTTAACTCAGTTTTATCTCACTTTTTAACTTTATTCAGGCTGGTCATGAAATTTGAATATTGTGAAAAAGTTTATTTAAGTCAGAAATTCCATTCAAAAAGTGAAATTTGTATATTATTTAAATTCATTACATTTTCCTCACCTACACACTGTGCAGCTATGAGGGCGGTGACTAAAGCCTGCTAGGTTACTCAATCCTTACTCCCTTTCAGATTACCTACACTACTGAACCATTCACAACTTGAGTGGACTATCTATTTTTAGATTTTAACCCTAACCCTAACCCAGGGACTCACACCCCACCTCACCTGTTCAGGTGCCATGATGTCATAATTGTAGGTATCGTCTTGCCTCTCGTGAGAGGAGAGTTAATACCTAACCCAGCTGCAGCCCACTACAGAGTTCGTGAAGAAACTTTTAGTTGGATTTAGATGAGGAGATTCACCTAGGATTAACGACCTTCATCCAAGAGACGCAACAGGCTTCATTCCACAGGCTGATTTACTAGCAGTCAGAGTGAAATTAGCTCCCACGGATCACACTCATTCATGGTCGCTCTCCTCTTTTTCACCAAATGTTCTTCGAATTTGCCCAAGCTAAGATTTAGTGACTTCGGCACAGAGGTGTTGTAACTACATTATTTATTGACTAAGGCAACCTATAAAAAAACTCAATCAATCGAGCATCATAATTATTTTACCACCATATTGAGGCGACACATTAAATGAATGTCCATCACATCTTTTAGATTATTCTTTGTGCTAAATATTTTATTAGTAGGCAACATTACGTGAGGGTCAGTAGAGCTTAATTCAGTAGCAGAAAGAATCAATCATTTTATCTAATCTATCTTTCCCCAATGCTGACACAGAGAATTAAAGGGAAATTTTGAGAGTTGGGAGTATGGAATTTCGAATCCCAGAAAGCAGGAGGAGGAAACTGAGGCAGGCATCCCCGAAGGTCTGATGAGCTTTCGGATCAGTGTAGATGCTGAGATTACACAGACCTTGGGAAGAATGGAGAGTTAGAACGACAGTTCCTGTTTTCTTAAAGTCCCACTAACAAATAAAAGTGAGCTGGTGTGATAACAAAAAGAATCCTTCAATCCCTGAGTACAACAGTGCATTTTTTAATGCCGCTGGTAGACAAGCCATGGAACAAAGCTTTACCAGTGTATTGATGTCACCCATTTCACATTACATTAAGAAAGACTCTAAGTTCCAGCAAATCTTTTATTCATTTTAACAATTTTCAAAAACCATATTTCTGTCAGTGCACAGAAATATGGATGAATTAAAAAAGTATAACTATGAAGACCTATCTGCAGTGAGAAAAAAGATATTTTGTCCAACATTTAAAAACACCTTATGTGATAAAGACCTGATGAAAATGAATGAAAGGATAAGGAATCCTAGTCAGAAATTATTACATCTTAAATTTTTCAATACATCATTTTATTAAAATAGGAACATGTGATCTACAATAGGAGGGATGAATTTCCTAACCTGTCTTCCCTTTCCTGCACCTGAAAAGCCTCCACTCTCTTTGTCATTGAAGCTTTCGCTCATGTCGGCCAGGTTTGTCATACTGCCTCCATTGGTACCATTGAAGGTGCTGCTGTTCTGCTCAATTCCTTTAGACATCTCCTGCTGACAGTCCTGAATCTGGGATAACTTGCCGCGAGCCTGCAAAATACAAAAACACATATTCATACAAAACCTTCCCTTTCTTTCACAGCCATGTTTTCTGAACGGCTTTCTTTGTGCAGCCAAAAAGAGTAAATGTTTTTGGGTGTTCAAACGTCTATAAATTACTAAATGTGAAAAGTTAAGTAGCTCAAGAAAAATACAAAAGAATAAGTGTAGCACAATTTTTGATGATGTTAATTTTTTTTAAATAAAATTCACCTATGCAATAAAATTATTTTTATCACCTAGGTATGCACTATGTTCAGTTATTTTTTCCCCCTATTTTTGTGACCTTTAGTTACTGAAAATATAATAGAGTGATGGTTGGTGTTACAATTCAAGCTGTACTGGAGCCTTCTGAACGTCTGGAGGGCCTAAGTTGCTGCTTAAGTTCACTTATGTTTTATTCACACCGAACGTATTTCATGCATCAAAAACTCGTCCAATGCTTCAAGTTTCATGCATGTGCACTTTGAAGTCAGAATCTTGATATTTTGCTCTAGGTGCGCTTTTGGACGAGCCAGCGTTTTCTGTTGTAGGTCTCGTACTATGGCAGATGAAACTGAGAAAGTGCCACAAACATATTATGTAGTGAAAGCTTCTGCAATCTTAACTGAGCCTCAGATGTCTTTGTTGAAAATTTTGTGTTGGATCTGTTTATCAAACAACGTTGACAACTGATAACGGCATGACGCGCACTGGAGCCTCGTGCCTTTTGTTCTCTCCTGGTGACTTTGAACAATGGCAGATGAAATTTTCTCGAGGTTTTGTTTATTGAAATCAACAGAATGTTGTCATAGGGCACATGCTTGAATTTACTTGATAATTCAAAGGTTTTTTTGAGTTTCACAAGTTAGCAGTTCACTGGCGAGGGTTGCTATCAGTGCTGTTTTTGTCTCACCTGAGCCCAGTTTGATGGCTGTCTACATTTTACTCAGGTGTACTCGTCTATTCACAACTGAAGCTGAACTGCTTTCCTGATGGGCAAACCCGTCAGGAACCGCCCCCTAACGGGGCGGGTCTAAAGTGCTGTCACCAATTGACCATTGGAATGTGATGAGCTCTAGTCTGTGATGATACAAAAGAAGTTTGATGCAGCTGGGAGCTTTATTGGGGAAGTTTTTCCATCTTGATGTTTAATGGCAAATGGCCAGATTTAAGGCTTGATTGAAGGCCAGAATTAAGGCTTCCTATGTCAAATGCTTTGACATAGGAAAATTCCTTTGATAAGTTTCATGCCTTGAAGTTCCTGTCAAGGCATGGAACTTCAATGCCTCGAGACTGTGCTGACTGAGATTGAAGCCTAGTTCTCAGAAGCTGTAGGATGAGTTCGCTCAGATATTAAGACATCAATAATGTGTAGATGATGGTTTCCAGTTGAATCTCTCCAGCAGCTTTGATTCAAAATGGCTGACTTCCTGTTTGGCTTGGACTATGGCTCTGAAAGACTTTTTTGTTTGTCCTGACAATATACACATTTGTACCAAGATTCATAATTCTGGGATAAAGCATGGCTTGGGGTTGATTTTTATTAAATATTCTGGGGAGCGCTGTGGAGGAATTAGCCTACACCTACTTATGTAGACACATGAAATTTGATACACTTGTAGAGCTCCCAAGACACACAGAAGATACAATTAATGTCATAATGCACATCAAACAGGAAGTCTGCCATTTTGGATTGAAGATCTGATTTTGACCCCATTTTTGCCGTCTATAGCCTCTGCATTTGATCAAACTCATCCTACTTGCACTGGATTCCTGTCAAGGCATGGACAAGGATCGAGCTCAGTGAGTTCGGTCCAGGTTGGTCCACATGAGGAATCTAGAGCCAAACATATGGCAGTGGTGTGACCTGTCAATTTGCCGCACTGCCACGGCAACACCCTTCACTGAAAGTTTTTGGCACTTTAAACAAGTGGGACTTGTCATCAGTCATCTGACATAAGATAATCTTAATTAGGTCAACCGAGTCAGAGATGGTGATTTCCAAGTAAAAAAAGTAACTTCCTGTTCTGAGGCGGAGGGTCTTAGATGACCCAAGAATATGATGACATAGGACCGTCAGGGATCCAAACAGGATCACTCATGCCAAGTTTGGTGCCTCTATCATCTTTTTATGTGAAAATTATAGTGTTTCGTTTGTTTTGGCGAGTAGGCCCAGTTCGCCGCTCTGCAACGCCGCCTGAACATATACGAAAAGTCAATTTTTTAAATAAAGTCTAAAACCCCATGCCTTATCTGCATTCTGACCAAGAAAGAAGCCGATAGGTCAAAATCTGTAGGAGAAGTTTGTTAAAGTTTGACGTGAGTAAAAGTGAAAAATGGCAAAAATTTGACCTTTGACCAAAATGGCCGCCACCCTGTGCATTTTAGGGGGTACCTCCAAGAGACTTTTTTTCTTGATCCAGAGGGTCTACCTACGTACCAAGTTTCAGGTCTTAGATTTCAGAAAATTTTCCTTGGAGGACAATTTTGGGTCAAGGTCTGTGTCTTTTCGAACATGTTAAAGGCCCCAAACCGACACGTAAAGTGGCAGAAAAATAATTTAAAAACGAAAATAATAAGAAGAAATCCTGCAAATTTAATAGGCCTTCGCCAGAGCTTCACTGCTCGGACCTGATAATTTACAAAACAATTGCAATAGGCCTTCGCAGCACTTTCGCTGGTCGGGCCTAATAAAAATCACAATAATAATAAATGCTTTGATTACAATAGGCCTTTGCAGTGCAGCGCTTTTGCTGCTCTGGCCTAATTAATCAAAGTAGAAAACAGAGAACAATACCTACTTGGTTGATTTCGTCCTGAGTCGACTTCAGTGAAATGATGATGGTTTCCAGTTGAATCTTGCCAGCAGCCAGGCTCTGTTCCAGCTGTCTCTCCTCCTGGTGTAGATGGTCCAAGTCAGCCTTTGCTCGGCTAAGCTCTTCCTCCTGGTTTTGTAAATCTGACTCCTGAGAATGGATCTGTCTCTGAAGAGTTAAGATCTATAAGAGTTTATAAGAAATTACATTAATGCTTGCAAAGTTTGTTTCATAATGGAAGTATTGTTTTTTTCAGATGTAGTGTACAATACAATTATTAGGCCCAAGCAGTGAAGCATTGGCGAAGGCCTATTGAATTTGCAAAATTTCTCTATTATTTTTTTAGGTCTGAGCAGCAACAGCGCTGCGATACTATTGTAATCATAGAATCTCTGAATTTTAGGATACTGCCCCACTAACTAGGGGGCATTTAGGTCTTATCATATTCAAAAATTCACCAAACTTGGCTGACGCGTCAAGCCTGTGTGAAGTCTGTATTTTAAGGTTGTCGCAAAAGAAACGGCTAAACGGTGACCCCAGAAACTTTCAAAATACTCTCTGCTGTGACTTTACTTCATCGTAGAGACATGAAATTTGATACACTTGTAGAGCTCCCAAGATACACAGAAGACACAAATAAAACAGGAAGTCTGCCATTTTGAATTGAAGATCTGATTTTGACCCATTTTTGCCATCTATAGCCTCCGCATTTGATCAAACTCATCCTACGCGTCATGATACACAAAACTCATAGAGGCACCAAACGTTCATTGATTGATCATCATCAGGACTCCTACAATGGTAAAATGGTCAAATGATAACATCAGTTAGGCCACACACCCTGAGAACTTGAAGTGTCATGTTTTACTGTGAATGGTCACTATCTTACCCATTTGTCCTAATCAACATGAAACTGTGTCCAAAGACAGAAGACATGTTGGTATGTCATGGATTCCAACCCAATGCAGCAGGTGGGCGTGGCAAAGTGACCTGTAAAGCCGTTGCCATATGTTTGGCTCCGAGTTCTACAGTTTCAAGCTGAGCTGGTCTAAACTCACTAGGATTATGTCAATAGCGGAAGGAGGAACAGCTCATCCTGCTCTCTCTCGTCCTTACTGATAATTCTGCCTGTGAATTATTTTTAAAGTGAGTTTTATAGTTATATTTACATTATTGACATCTTAACTGGATCACTCCAAACCTAAGGACTGGGGGATTTTCTTACTTTTATTTTTAGCTTACTTTCTGTACCTCCAAGTTAAACCAGAGCAAACTGCCTCCGGCTGACCCCAGGGACATGAGCAGTATTTTACGACTTCAGTCTATAGAAATGAAGATTAAAAAACTGCTGGAGGTGAACTTGAGATCAACGCTACCTATGGAAATGAGACAACCCTTCCTCAAATCAGCGGAGAGGTGTGCGCCCTGCACCGAGCAGCTCACCCTGGAATGCTCTGGGTGCCAAGCCGAAACGGGAGTCTCGCATTGCGGATCTGTTGAGACGACTATCAGGGAGAACCCCGTACCTGGACGAATCAGCGTGGCCGTCTCTGAGCCGAAACCGCCTTCTACTTCAACGCCTGCTCTGCCAAAGAAAGATAAATAAGCAGCTGCAACCAAAACACCTCCACCGACCCCGCTGACCCCGCTCCCAGGGACAAAGCAACCAGCACGAGCCTCAAAACATTCTGACTCTGTCGGAATCCCACAAAAAAAATGATTTTCTACACTCCAGCCTGAGCCTCTGAGTGAAACTTCGCCTTCAAATATCAACAGTGAGGCAAGACCAACACATCCATCCCCCAAAGCTCCAAAGGACAAATGGACCACCAGGAATACAAAAGGTATCCCAAAAGTGCTTATTGTTGGAGATGAGGCAGTAAAGGGAATCAGTGACGTTTGCAATCCCAGGAAAACAAGAGTGATGTACAATATTTTCCTGGTGATCAAAAAAAAATTTCAAAAAATATTCCAAAAAATATTCCAAAACTGTATCTGATTTAACCAACAAACTGCTCTCTGTAACCACTGATCAGCCAGATATTGAGACTTTAGTTGTGCATGGTGGAGCCAACGATCTGGCAAAGCAAAAGTATGAGATTCTGAAAAAGCACTTTAATATTCTTCTGAACACTATAGAAAAATTAAAAATGAAGTTATTTCTCAGTGGTCCAATTCCATCACCTCAAAGGGGAGCCGAAAAATACTCCAAGCTGGTCTCGATAAACAAATGGCTGATTAAAAGCTGCTTTACCAGCTCAGTGATCTTCATGATAACCTCTGGATCTATTGGCAGAGCTTTCACCTTTTTGGAAAAGGAGGACGCAATCTTAATAAACACGCAAACCTTTTTTATTTTATCAACAAGGACAGCGACGGGATCACTGCTTCAGAAGAACAGGCTCAAGGATGTCTGACTAGGATGGAGTCCGCCCCATATCAGGAGCATAATATTCCAAAACAAGCTGATAAATCAACTGGAGACGGCGTGACTGCTTCCCTTTCTCCTTCCCCCCTCCTTCTTATATATTGGATAGTTGAAAAAAGATGAACATTGATTTTAATATGAACATGTTTTCATATTAAGATGTTTGATAATAATTTATCTTCATTAATAAAAAATAAACACATGTTTTTTGTAACTCTGACGGGGTGTGCATAAAACTGACATGACAATGTAATAAACATGACAAAACACCTGTCAACATGAGTAAGTCTTCATGAATATTTATGACTGTTATGAAGTGGACCTAAAGAGGAACGATCTAAAATCAATGCACAGCTTCAGTTATTACAACTAAAAACCAGCGATCAGCCCGAAACCTGGGAGTAGTGATGACCTCTGACCTGAACCTTGCAAGCCACATAAAGACAGTTACAAAGTCGGCCTTCTATCACCTGAAGAACATCTCCAGGTTTAGAGGACTAATGTCTCAGCCAGATCTACAGAAAATCATCCATGTGTTTATCTTTAGTCTCATTGATTATTGTAACAGCGTCTTCACAGGCCTGTCCAACAAATCAATCTCCAGCTGCAGCTGATCCAGAAGCTGCTGCTCCTGTTCTCACTAAAACCAGGAAGATAGAGACATAACAGCAGTTTTAAAGTCCCTCCACTGGCTCCCTGTAGCTCAAAGAATAGATTTTAAAATACTGTTGTTAGTTTATAAATCACTGAACGGTTTAGCACCACAATACATCAAAGATCTGCTGTTGTTGTATCAACCTTCCAGACTCTCAGGTTCTGGTTCTGGTCTGCTCTGCATCCCCAGAACCAGAACCAAGAGAGGAGAAGCAGCTTTCAGCATCTATGCACCAAAAATTTGGAACAAACTTCCAGAAAACTGTAAAACAGTAGAAACCCTGACTTCCTTTAAATCTCAACTAAAAACACACCTGTTTAGAATTGTATTTGAAATGTAATATGTAACAATGTATTGTTTATTTCATGATGCATGACTTTGTGTTCTTGTGTTTATGATGTAAAGCACTTTGAAATTCCTTGCTGCTGAAATGTGCTCTACAAATAAAATTTGATTGATTTGATTTAAATTCTGAAATAATTAATAATTCTTAATTATTGATGATTATATAAAATAGTTGAATGGTGAATCACAAGTTGAAAGTACTTTAATCTGGTTTGATTACTAAAATTAATGAGTATTAAGTAGGTATGGTTGAAAAAAAATGTATTGAAAGATGATAGTGTTGATTTATAGTGATCATATAGCATGTAAAGGACTGAAATCACATAATAAGAGAATAGGGACAGTCTGTGGGTGCAGAGGCAAGCCTGGACATGTCTCGAGGATGGAAATTCAGAAACTAAGCCAGGGGCTTAAGATAAACAAGTAAAGCAGAAGTGGACAGGGCGATGACCGAATATGGGAAGGCATGGGACCTTCCATGAGGTAATCAAATGCTTGAGAAGTCGCGTACACCGTTTCCCCATACACAACAGCTAGGGGAAAGAGTATAAATAAACAGAGAAGCAGAGAACAGTTGTTCTTCGTCTCCAGTGGATCGAGCTGGCAGCAGCAGGCCAATGGACCAACAAGAAGCTGCGCCCTGGAATCGGAGGAAAGTCAAGCCGTCACACCACTGAAAGAGAGACAGGACCCGATGTCCACAGCTCTGGCTCCTGATTTGATTGTGGCTTCACACTCAAAGATCTCAAGAATCGCTGCAACGGACTTGGCAATTGGACAAAGGTCACAAAAGTGATGAAGATTGGGATGTTTGGAAGACAAACAACCAACTTTGCTTTGTTCCTATTTGAAGGAGGATTTAAGACAAGATTCTGTCCAAGGATATTCTGTTGCTGAGATCCTCCATCATCTGGGTATGAGTCTGCCTGCACCCCAAAGCCTTATTTAGTGTATTGATGGCAGTTTAGGGAAAAGAGTTAGGAGAGGTTTATGTTGATTTTATTCACATTTATTTTGTTCCTAGATATTTGTAATAATTGATAATGAATCTAGTTGTCATTTACTCCTGCTTGAAGTTGCTTAAATAAACATATCTTTTTTTGAAATTCTAATGAGGTTCGTGGACATTGAAATTATTTGAGTCATTTTGTTGGTTATGGTTTTTCTACTAATGTAACATCCATGTACATGATTCCAGAAATGTGGTGGCTTCGGACTTTCCTTTAGTTGTTACGTAGATAATGACCCTGGGACTTACAAAGTGGCTGAAACTAATCTAGCCATTAATAAGTGCTCGTTATTATTAGAGAGGGGGCTACCGCTAACAGAAGTGGTTATTGGGGTTATGCAGTTGTGAGGGCTACAGAAAATGGTCCTAACTTCTGGATTGTAGGTAATTAGAGCTAGACGAGTCTCTGTCGTCACCAGCTTAGACAGATTGTCCCTCTCAGGCCTTCTGCAGGGTAATAGAGACTTTCCAGACCTGTTGATGGATAGCTGGTCAGTAGTCAGCCCAAAGGGGTTGTGGGAATTAGGGCGGGGCTGGCTATTGCGTAATAACAAACACTCCTCTCTACCATGACCTCCCCATGAATTAATTTAATCATCTCATTTGGAAATGTTTATGGTTAATGGAAGATTGAGCCAGTCATTTGATGTCAGTTTATCCTGTATAAATTGTAAATAATTTTTCCAACTACAATACAAATCACTTTTTGCTCCATTTTTCTGTCTCTGGTGTGTTAAATCAAACCTGATCCTCCCTGAGTTTTATTTTTGTGTTTTCTGATAAACAGCCCTTTATTTAAAATATTGATTACCTCATTTTAACATGAGTGGAGCATCATAAATGCTACACTAAGGTGCAGCTTGATAGGTGAATGTAATTGTATATGTCAATTAACATTAAGATAAATATTCATTAATATTCATTAGCATGTCCTTTTTAATTTAACCAAGTGTACATGGGGAACTGTATAGTTTGTGTTTGTTCTCAGACCTATAACCAGTACCAGTACTATTTAATATTTCAATGTCTTTCAGAACTTTTCAAATGTTTATCAACTTTCTAACCGACGCCTTCCTCACTCTTATTTTTGTGTTTTTCAGCTGCTGCTCAGCGGTTTGACCTATAGCTGAGTGTCACGCACAAAAGCGAAAAAGGTTGTTACAGGGAAGCGATAGAGAAATAAACAATGAAGCCCAACAGGAAACACTTGCTTGTGTTTAGTTACTGGCTTAATTAACCGGTACAGGGCTTGATTTATCTAACAGAAAGTGTTGTTATGACAAAAATTACCTTTGTGCTGACTAACGTGGTAGTTCCTGTCTATCAGTTTCATTCAACCGGACATGAGGTGGGCTGCAGGCCAAGATCCATTTCTTGCGTTATTCCAGACTCCTTTTTTGGTTTTGTAAATGGAATAAATTGTATTTTGCCCTCTGTATGTGCTGGGTAACAGCTGTCAGGATTGGATATTTCCCACTGACAACTTGGACCATGATCATCTATCATTTTCCTCAAAATCTCCCTGACCGCAGCGTGCTTGCTGCAACAAACACTGTCAATATTGTCGGAGGTCAGTTCCTCTAAAAAAGTGGTGTGTAAAGGTCAGGTGTGTTCAGAGAAACAGAAACCCAATTTCAAAGTGTGAAATTACAAAGTCAAAATTTTTATATATAGCAACTTATAACAGCTTGATTGTGCTAAAATTGCACTATGTGACACATAAATTTGTATTTAAATGCCCTTTTAAATGCTAATTTAAAGGGGCATTAAATTAGTAAGCAAAGATGCTTACAGGTGATTCAAATTTCTCATGTTGCTTCCTTTGGAAAAATGATTGCCCATCCTTGGTAAAGTAGTCCAGGCAAGGGTTACTGTATATTTTTGATATGTCACAAATTTAAATATTATTTTGCAGTACATGTTCATATCTTAACTGTAAAATCATATTTGCAAAATTGTTCTTCTTTCCTCACCAATTGAGATTCTTCCTTGCACTTCTGTCGTACTTCATTCAACATATCTTCCAATTTATGCTTTTGCTGTTCCATCTCCTCCAAACGGTCCTGAGCATCTTGCTTCTGTACCTCCAGTTCCTGCATATCGGTTGTCTCTCTGTCCATGTCATTCTGCATCTCCTGATAGATCATTAGTTAAAACAAAAAATTATAAAACCAGTCACAGCCCCTGTAAATGTATCCATAAACTCATGGCTAATAATTTTGAAAAATTAGAAATGTAGAACACTGTGAAAATGTCTTCACCTGCACCTCAGCACTCTTTTGTCTGATAGCTTCTTCCATCTCCCTAATATCCTGCTCCAGAGTGTACTTCTCCCTGAGACACAAACACAATAATATCACTTTGCCACATCTAAATAAATCAGTATCATAATAATAATATCAAAATTAACAAATAAAACAGCAATTATAACATGTGTATGGGACTAGATGCAAATTTTAGCACATTTGGAAGGCATGGGTTACATACTAGACTAATAAACTGGTGTGTCAAAAGAATATCAACTAATTTCAGTTCAATTCAAAAATATCTAATTTGTCCCAAAGAGAAATTAAGCCCTTTCCCACCTCACCCCCTAAATCACCAAAAACACTTGAAAAAGTATACCCAGATGCTGTTGTTGAACAATTTGGAGTTAAAGCTAGGTTTCTTTATGAAGATGACAAGCAAAATTTTCATTTTTTTGTCAAAAATACTTTAATTGTAAGTAGTTTGTAGCTATTGTTTGTAACAAAAGAAACTGAAAAATTTTGCTTCACCCAGATTTTTCATTTTTATTTCTTGTAAATGCACTTTGAGTGTTGAATGTATGGACTGGAATATACAATAAATCTGTAGAATACAATATTCTGCTAATGGATTTCAAAATTGATCAAGATAGCACAAAAAAGAAAAATAATGACCAGAGGAATTCTGTCCACACAACATTACTGAGAATGGAAATTAATAATGATTATACGAATAAAATACCATATCTGGGGGAGGAGGGGTTAGTCAGACCTCCTCGACCTTCTTGCAATATGCTGTCCATCTGTTTGCCGCCATCCGCAGCCGCCCCAACCCCAAGCACTCAACAGTATGCTAGCCGTCCCACACCATTATCTCTCCTTCGACCCCCCCAGATCCCCTTCCTCTTCGCCCCCCGCCCTTCTAACCGTACACCAACTTCCATTCTGGCTCTTCGGTACCTTTAAATTCCCCACTCTGGCTGGAGCAGAGTACCACTAAGAGTTTCAGGTATTCTCAGATCCAAAGCTTGTCAGTGTAGAGGGGTGAAAACCAAGCTTCTAGAAAATAGACACCCCAAACATAATTTTTAATTTTGTATCTTTTAATTTCTTGTTGTAATAAGTTATTTAGCGTTGTTTCAGTTAGTCCATGCAATTCTCCACATGACCACTAAGGGCGCATTGCATTGGTGGCATAGAAAAGATTGAGGTCACAAAAAGAATTAATCTTCCGTTGGATGTTAATGAGAACTCAACGTGTGTATCTCATCTTTTCTGTGTCACAGCATCACACGTTGGACGAAGATCTTTTCTAATACATTACTCTGCCACCCAAGGTTGCAGGGTAACATCAGGACTCTTACGACCATAATCATCCACTCTGTGAAGTTCTGCTGAAGAAATACACCCAGTTTTGAAACATTCTGACAACATGTCTCTCTGTGGCTCTCCATTGGCAAGAACAATTCCTGTAAACACTGTTAACAGGACGTGTTAACATACAAGATGGCGGCGCGTGTGGACGTTGTTCCACACGTTGTTGTAGGCCATCTGCTGGGCCACAACCTCAGCTGTGTAGTCAGGGAAAATGGACACACGGCCTCCGTTGTACATCAGGGTGAATGCAACCGGCTGAGTTTGCTAGCCACATACCTATCGTTGTGAATCTTAGCAATGATAGCACATGGTCGATCCTCAGGCGATGGTTTCGGCCTAAGGATACGGTGAGCGCGGTCAATCTTGATGGGCTTGACAAATTATCCTTCCCAAGCACCTCCGATAACAGCCGTGAAACAAAGTCAGTAGGGTGACCCTGTTCCACACCTTCCTTGATGCTAAGCACCCTTATATTGCATCTGCGGGACCGACCTTCCAGATCACTTAGCTTCACCCTCAACAGGGCGCTCACCTCCCGGAGCTGATCACAAGAGGCTTCGAGGACCGAGATGCGGCTATCAGCAGACGACACGGCTTCATCAATGGTGTCGACTCGACTCTCTATCTCCCGTTGATGATTTTGGATGGCAGAGATAGAAGATTCAATGGCGTTGAAGCGACCCTCCATTGTCTTCTTAAGGTCATCAATATGATCGCAAAGCTTAGCAACTTGCACCCCCTGAGCAGTGATAGCACCCAGGATAGCGTCGTTGCTAGCTCTAGAACTTGGCTGGGCTGGCTCCTTCTGTGCCTGTCAGGATATGATTGACTCAGAAAAAGCCATTTCATAACATTTGGTGGAATGTGGTGTCAATCAAAAGTGGGGGCTCGGTTGAATAAACTGAATGCCAATATCACTAACAGATGTCATAGGTGTAAGACGTCTGTAGGCGATCTTCTTCATATGCTCTGGAATTGTGTACACTTGCAAACCTACTGGAATAATGTAATACTGATAACATCAACAGTTTGTGGGCTTCCTTTAGATCCTGACCCCAGGATTTGGATACTTGGAGATATTAGGTCCTTGAAATTGAATTTTTGCAAGAAATACTTTGTTTTGTTAACGTCATCCGCAGCAAAAAAATGTATACTTAAAAATTGGAAAACTATGGAGCCTCCAAACAAGAAGCATTGGATCAACAAACTGTTGTCATACTGCACTCCTGAAAAAATTCTCCGCTCGATATGTGGGACATTGGCGAAGTTTGACCAGATATGGACTCCCTTCCTGGACATCCTAACTAGATTGGACCTGAGAGATTGATCTGTATTGATTTTTACTGTCTTGTTTCGATCTTTCTAATATTTTGTTGTATTCTTTCTTTTAACTCTGGCCTTTCAAAAAATGAGTAGTGCCAAATGTAATACTGCTATATGTGTTGCTACATGAAGAGAGTGGGGGGGTGGAGGTGGGGGGGTTTTATTTTTAGAGGGGGGGAAAAAAGATAAGAAAAAATGTTGTACATTAGATGTGGATTTTGTTGGATATGCATCCTGAATAAATATATATATACAAAAAGTGGGGGCTCTAGGCTGCCCAATAAAAGGGTCATAATGGACATCAGCAGAGTTGAAACCCTTAAATCTCAGGGCCAGAAAATACAATGGAAAAACAGCATATGGGTGTCCCAGTGCAGGTCAAGGAGTTAAATGCTGTCGTAACTCATATCAGATTTGTTGTTTATGGCAATGCTGGGGGCAGAAGGATCCCCAGTAGCAGTCAGTAGTGCCAGAAATCAGAAGAAGCCTCTGACTAATGACACCGTTGCTGTATGATGACTGTCATAATATCCTACACCACTTCCCTGATGGCAGCAGGGTGAACAGGTGTTGGGCACAGTAATAGCAATCTTTAAAAGTATCCACGAAGAATAGACTTGATGTGGGAAATATTTATTTTAGATGTAAAAACAATATAGTAATGATACTGTAGGTTGTTTATTTTAATTAAGTATTTTCATGGGGATGTCGCCATGTTGTTCAAGCTGCAATGAATTATGGGTAAATAATGTCTATAGGTCCAACTGCCTGGCTCCTCCAGCCAAAACAGTAATGAGTAATGTTACTAAGCCTTTTCAAATTGGACAGAAGTGCATCGATCAGAATGTAGAAATCAACAGAGGTAATGAAGGTGAGAAGGACCAAACAGAGGAAAATGATAGAGTTGGCCGTAGGAGCTGCTGCTACCTTCAACTTCAGAAATAAAACAATGAATGAATTTGATCTGAGAATACCGGAAACATTTAATCATCTTCTGCTAGTCAGAGCCAGTGGGGTAAAGCGTACTAAAGAGTGAGCATTGGAGTCGCGGGGGCTAGCGTACCGTTGAGTGCTGGGGGCGAGCAGATGGACGGACAGAAGGCGGCGGACAGATGGACAGCGTATTGTAGCTCTGGTCATTATCCAGTAGGTACATCTATACCTTTGTGAGTGGAGCTAAACAGCAGTTAGAGACTTTGAGTCATTTGTACAAGCAAAACTAACAAAGTCTTCTGGAGAGAAATGTTGAGTGCATTGACTAACCTAACCTAACCCATTTAGCATAGTTAGCTCAACTACAGACATTTGCCTCCATTTCACTAGCATTTAATGAACGGAGGAAGAAAAATTACCAACTTATTCATATATTTAACTGCTACCTGTACATTTTACAACACTTAACAACAGTTGAGTCAGTCAGCAGCAGTTCTAACTCACATTCCTCCTGACCTGCCCTATCCCAAGTGAAATTAAAGCTGCAGTATGTAACTTTTATAAAAAAATATTTTTTTACATATTTGTTAAAACTTTTATTATGTTGTGACGGTATGGTATAGAGATAATGTGAAATTTTGATTTCATCTGCTTTCTCCCACTGATATCTAGAAACAACCTATCAGAGTGAGGAGAGATTGTGTCTCTCTACACATGCTACATGAGATCACAATCTCATCCTCCCTCCCCTTGCCCTGTGCTGTGCTGTGCTGTGGCTAGCCATAACAATAAGTTGTTTTGCCACCATTAGAACATTTAGCACTAAGACCCTCCTCCTTGTTCTGATTGGTTGTTTTTGGCCAGAACTTTGCTTTACTTTAGCCAGTAATAGCAGCTCAGGGGGCAGGTGGAGGAGATTGATCTTCTAACAGATTAACTGTCTCATAACAAATTGGCATGACATGATGTCAACATATTAATTAATTAACTTCAGCTTTTTCTAAGCAAGAAGATGTTTTCTCTTTGCAAACCTCCAGTTCTATATGCACACAGTTAACAGACGCATGTAACGTCAAGAAAGTAGTGGACAGAAAATTAACAAATCCTGATTGTGACATCCTTAGTTTTGGAACAAAATTTCATTCCAAAGCATAAAATTTTGTAAATGTTCTGAATAAAATTTGCTAATTTCCAGGTCTGCAATCATCTACAGCATCTCCAAAGGCTGCTGACTGCGGGATTGACGCTAACCTATGAATCGACTGATGATTCAGTAAGTTAAGATGAAATGCTCCATTTAATAATCTTAATACAATTTAATATAAGTTTAAAGGAGAATGTCAGCATTCCAGCTCCAAGTAAACTGATAAAATAAGGCCTGTAATCGTAAACACAATGACAGTTGAAAAAAAAAAAATTATAAATTGTATTTCTTAAGATGTACAACAGTGGTAATTGGCTTATTTCACATGAGTGATATTGCAACAGTGCACATCAAAAAGGAAGCTAAAACATCAATAATTTATATTGAGTCAGAAATTAGTAGATCACTCATGATTTACTAATCATGAATGATTAGTAAGTTGATTAGTAAAATTGAGTCAGAACGGAAGTGTCCCACAACTTCGTTGGAACTTGATGCAGGAGGATAGAGTTAAGGCAGTCTCTGGTCTACGGAAACATCTACAAATACAATTTGAAGATATTTTACGACTTTCAAAGAACTTTTCTTAACAACACGATCTAAATTGGACAAATTCTTCTCTGAATGAGATATGATATTTAAAAATTCTTCTCATTCTTCTCTGAATGAGAAGAATTTCACTATGAAGATACGTGGTATTGTCTTTTGTAGCCATTAATTGATATGCTCGGAAAATAGTAATGTGTTAGCTATCTAAATTACATAACCTTTGTTTTGGAAGTATAACATATTTAGATCAGATTCTTATAGTATAGACAGGGGTTGCTACCCATCACGTAAAATGCAGAATGGAATTTAATTAGGTAGATAAATGTTCTTTCCCTGTGCTGCTGGAGCATCCTGTAGTTTCGATTCACACACCGAATACTCCACCAGCTTCTGAGAAGTCAAACTCTGGCAGTGGAGCTCATCCCGTATTTCAAGTCCTGAAAGATGGCAACTCCAATAAAGAATATAAATAATGTTTGCAACCACCCTTCTGCTGTTAGCTACAAAATTCTGAGTAAGATAAAAGTCACTAATGTGAATGAAATGTTTTCCCCAAATACAGAGTTCAGTAAGGTGACTGAACCTGACACCCCACCCAGGTGTAAAATGGCAGCAAACAGTCTGAGTGGTTAATCCGTCGTTAGTGCAGGATCATGCCATTACAATTTTCTTTTGTGCTGCTTTGGTTTCTGCAATATTAAAAATTATGTTTTTGATCATCCAGAGGTCACCATTCCCCCATGCTGCTCCAAAACAAACCACAGAGAAGTACTTTTGTAGTGCAGGTCCCATTACATTTTTGTTTCACGCTATGGCTGAACCTACTATGGAAAGAGGAACAAGACCACCCCAGATATGGTAGGTTGTTAGGTAGGCTACTATTGACAAAGCAAACAGAGAAATTATAACTCACATCAGAATATGTGAATTATTTGCAGATGGCACTTAAGTCAGTATTTAAAATGCTTTTCTTTCAACAACAAGAAAACAACAATGTGTTGAAAGATGTAAGTGATTTTACATTAATATAGAAGGAGAAACTTTTAACGTTACAGCATTACCATGCAGCAGTGTATATTTTACCTAACTGTGGCTAAAGCACCTGCTAGCTGACTTGCTCTCTGATCTGAAGCTGCTTCTTTTATACACAGAGAATGGTGAATTGACAATGGGTAATAATGGCTATCTAACACATAAATACTGTTATTAGTCTAACCTTTCTTCCTATCCTGCAGACAATGAGTATCTGTGAATTGTTCAGTCAGGTTTCCCGAGGCAAAGTCACACCGCAATCAGATACACTGTTTCAAGTAAGAACAGAAGTTGTCTGATGTAATTGTGAAATGGGCCGATTAACGCCACACTGATTAGAAAAGGAAAGGGAAATAAAGAATTAAAACTTTGTCTTTTGATATAATTTTGATTTGCAGTTATTAATATTGTGCTAATAGTACCACTTACCTGTGCAACTGGGCTATGTCCTGACTAATATCATCAAGCTCCTTGATGCCACTGAACTCCCCTGAACCCACTGAACTAGAGCTGTCCTGTCAACACAGAAAAATAAAAGAAAGGCATAAGAAGCTTTGGAAAGTCAACTTTGATCATAAAACAAAACCAAATGATTAAGAGGCAGTAAACGATATAGAGACTAAGGGACAGAAACAGAGATAGAGAATATATATTAATGCATCAGGAAACAAGCAGTACATATCTTTTTATTAATAAATGGTCACAGAGAGGCAGGAACCGCATTTGTCCTACCAATGAATTTAACCACATTTGTGAAAAATATTAGACTGAAATCTTCAACTCAAGTTCTTTTATTTTAAAGGTGCAACACAGCGCCCTGCCATTTCAAGCAATTTCCTAAAACATAGTCACTCATCCCCAGTATTTCTGTCTTTAGTTGCTAGTCACAAAAACAGATCACCTCATACTTTGCAGCCTGCTTTTCCTTGACACTGTGCAAGCGGGTGGCAGCAAATTCTAAGCAATTCTGTGTGGAACTTAAATGCTCTGAGAGTGATGGGAAGTTTGAAGATTGTGATGGAAAAATATCTCAGGGTGAAGCACATGAAAATACATGAACACCATGAATTTAATATGATATTTAAAAAGCAAGCACATTACAGAATACGGCTATATTGAGGCTCAATGCAGAAAACACACATCCAGAGCGGTCAGATAGCAAGTAGAGTGAAAATAACCTGGAAATAATTGAAGTCACCGAGCTAGATGACCAGCGATGTAAGATACTGGGTTCTGCTCTGCCGTTACGCTTTAGTAAGAAGTAATATTTCACAGACAAAGTGCCATTTAATTTCCACCAGCCAGTATTTTCTAAAAACATTAAACATCTTTTTGAAACTGCAGCATGTAGCTTAAAAAAAGTTTTACCAAAACTTTTGCTATGTTCTAACATGAGATAGTATGAGGACAGAGAAACTTTGAGCTCTTCTTTCTACTCGCTGTGTTCTGCTGGGTCAGACACAACCAGTCAGAGCCAGGTTGTATCTGTCTGTGATCTTGATTTAGTAACTTAACATTGTTTATTTTAATGCAACCCTTGGATGAATGTTTTCTGTTTTACTTGACAATATTTTATATAGGCACTTTGTGAGATTTATTTGACTTTATTTTTGATTGGATTTTTATACATGACAAAATGTAACAGGAGAAAGGAGAGAACATAGTAATACTAAATGGAAAAAAAGAGAAAAAAAAATCATACGGACATTCCAGACACATAGTTTTCTTTTTTATACTTTATTTTTAATCAGATTTTTAAACATGACAAAAGACTACACCACAAGAAAAAAAGAAAAAAAAAAATCAGACGGACATTGAACAGCACTCAGAACAGAGGTCACCAAGGCAGGGGGACAGCAATACGTCGCATCAAAATAAACTGAAACAGACAGCTTTTTGGTGAACAGGTTACAGTAAAGTTTCATAAAGAGTCAAAGAGTTGGGAGGTTTATCCAGAATGACCAGGTCCTGCCACACCGCACAGCACTAAGCCCCAATTACCACGCCGTAAAATAAAGAAATGATAATCAACTTACTTTCAAGTTCCTATATATTAACCATTTCAACCAATATTTGGGATTTTGTTTTCCTGAAGTCTTATGGAGAAGGTAAGCATTTCCATTTCATGAATTTCTTCAACAGAGGCTGAGCAGTCACATAACTGCAGAGAGTTCCCACTAAGCCACTGTTTTGTTATTGATTTCTTTCCTGCTAGCAATAATGATTTTAGAAGGTATTTATCCTCAGAATTGAGTTCAATTGGTAAATTGCTTAGATATATAGTTTTAAGATCATGTTCAATTTCAAAAGAATTTCCCTTATCTCTTTGGCTACCTTTAGCCAATAGGAATGAATGGGCAGCATAGAAAATATGAAAGTGGTCAGCCATCACATTGCCAGATTCAGCTCTGCTGGTCTGAGAAAATGTTCGTTTGGGTGTTGTAAAAAACCTAATTATATTTCCATGAAAAACTCCCTCCAGTGACCTGAGCTAGTGGTGGTAGAGTTTGTTTGTTCAGCCACTCATCCTCCGTCAGCGTTATTCTTGCTTCCCTTTCCCCAGTATTTTTGATATATAATGTAGATGTTTTTATATATTTTCTAAGCACACATAGTGTGGACAGCCTCTTCTTATAAGATTTACCTTTATAAGCATCAATAAAGATATTGATGAGGACCTGATCATCTTTTTCTGATATTTTAATATTCTTATTAAAATGGTGCCTGAGCTGCAAGTATCTGAAAAAGTCTCGTTTGTCAAGTTCACATTTTTCCTGCAGTTGTTGGAAACTTTCTAGATCAGTTCCAGAAGAAATCACGCAGTATGACTTTAGGCCTTTTCTGGTTAGTTGGTTGAATTTTGAATCAAGTTGTGCTGGTATGAAGTCCCTATCATGCTCAACCCATCTTAATAACCTAGTTTTCTTCTATAAAGTGGATTTTGAAACTTTCTAAACCAGATGCTGAGAGGAACTTTTGTGGAAACACACAACTCATCTGCATATATAGTCTTGAGGTGTTTGTCCCCCAGCAAGCCTGCAGAGGGATGTGAATTTGACTTAGTTCTAGTTCTTTCCATTTTGCCTCAGACCCCTCTTCACACCAGTGAGCTGCAGTTGTGCTGCTCTGTAATAATTTTCCAAACATGGGACTGACATTCCTCCTTTATCTCTTGGTAATTGTAAGTTGGTTTCTTGTTCTGCCATATAAACCTGGAGATGATCTGGTTCCACTCATTACTTACTTACTTTCTTTATTCAACAGACTCATGGTCCACAAGATACACATCAACACAACATACAAAACAAGAGAATATAAAAATAAAATACAATAAGTAGTCATAAAATATAAATAGAAATCTTATTAATCTGCTTGGAAGGAATTTCTATTGATAGCGATTGAAAAAGGAACAACAGTTGAGAAAAGATGATCATTTTTAAATCGTTTCTATTCGATGTACAAATCGAGCATCAGGGGAGCCCATTTGTCCAGGTTATTTTTAACTTGACTAAGTTTTTAGTAATATTAACATCTAAATATTTCATGGTTCTTGTTTAATTTATAACCTGAATAGAGTCCAAATTGGTGGAGGCAGGACATGAGGTTAGGCAGACTGGCATCTGGATCAGATAGTCACCAGGATGTCATCAGCGTATAGACATGATTTGTATTCTCTGCCTTTAAATATGATTCCTTTAATTTCTGGGTCTTCTCTAATTGAGCTAGTGGTTCTATAAAAAGTGCAGAGAATTGGGCTCAGAGGACATCCTTGCCTGCATCCTCGTTCCAGCGGTATTGTGCCTGAAAGGCCACAAGTTATTTTGGTTCGGGCTACTGGCGAGCCGTATAATGATTTTAAACAAATTAAGATTGTATTATTAAAGCCAAACCATTGTAGAACTAAATATAAATATTCTCATCGTACACAATCAAAGGCTTTTTCAGCACCAAAACTGATTGCTAAAGATTTCAAATTACTTCTGCTCATAATGTCAAACAAGTGTAACGCTTGCCTCACATTATCCTGTGTACGTCTATTTTTAATAAATCCTGTCTGGTCTGCATCGATCAGTTCGGGGATAGTATTTTATAGTCTATTGACAATTATTGAAGTGAATATTTTATAATCAATGTCCAAGACCGAAATGGGCCTGTATGAGCTACACTCATTTTTATCCTTTCCTGCTTTTGGTATCAGGGATATTATCGCTTGTTTCCAGGATGGTGGAATCTCACCTCCTTTAAGCACATGATTAAAACGGTTTAACAGCAAAGGTGTTATAGGTCTCCTAAAAATGTTATATCATTCAGCTGGTAACCCGTCTCCTCCTGGTGACTTACTTGCTTTCAATTTTGAAATGACTTTGTTGACCTCTGCTGGTGTTATATCTGCAGATATCCACTTATTTTGCTCCTTGCCAATTGAGGGAAGATCCAAACAGTCTAGAAACTGCATTACTGAGGGAAGGTTTGTTCATTCAGGTTGACTATATAAGTTCCTGTAATATATTTCAAATGATTTATGTTTTTCGTCTGGGGAGAAACACATCTGGTTGGAAATGGGATTTTTAATTTTAAAGCTGGATCTGTCTAATTTTTGTTTAAGGCAAATTTGTTTTTTTTGCTTGCAGTCCATTTTCATAAGTTTGTTTAATATATTTGAGATTAAGTATTACTTTGTCATTGAGGTCCACTTTTATTGCAGCTATTTGCTGTATTAAAGTTTGGTTTTTGGTTTGGATATATTGCTGCTCTAAAATGTTTAGATGTTTAGTGAGGTTCAGATTTTTCTTTTTTCTATCTTGATGCCCACATTATAATTTTCCCATGCAGAACTGCTTTTGCCACATCCCATAATATACTTGGAGACATTTCTTCGCTGTTATTAAATTCTACACGTTCTGTAAATTCCCTGTTAATGAATTCCTCAAATTTGTTATCATTCAGCAGAGCTGTGTTAAGTCTCCATATTGTTGTCTTAGGGTGGGAATCTAAATATATTTTCAAATAAACCCCAGAGTGGTCCGACACATTCCTAGTACCAATACTACACTCTAGGACCGTGTGTCTGTCTGCTCTAAATAGGAAAAAATAATCAATTCTTGAGTAAACGCCATGTGGGTGACAGAAAAAGGTGAACTCCTTAGCTAATGAGTGGGATTCCCTCCAGACATCAAATCTTTTTAGTCAGTTTGTGTATATACAGAGATTTATGTTTACATTAGTTTTCTCCTGTTTTCTTAGTTAGGGAGGTAAGTTTTTGTTATTTGGTTTCTTTATTTTCGATTAGGTAAGTTGGTTAACATTTAGATAGTTTCTTTTGTTTGTTGTTTTCGGCATTTAGCTCACTCTGCAGACATCTGCTCCTCTAGCTGTAACAGTTCAGTCTACAAAAAAATACATCTCTTTACAATAAAAAAACATTATAAAATGTTTAATTTTGTGTGTGTTGGTCGCTCGAGATCTGAAGAGGATGGATCACTCGTGTTATGACCTGGACCCCTAGACGGGTCGTAACAAGTGCTGTTTGGTAAATGTGACTGGCCACAACAAAGCCATGAACACGTCTAGTTGGGCATTTTGAATTACTTACAGATTCTGAAAGTCTAAGCTTTCCAATGATGTCAAACACACAAACATAAAAAAAGAAATTGTTCTTTACTACCTAGTGATATCTGCATCAATAACAATTAGGGCTATTTGTGATTTAGAAGCACAATTAAAGAAAAATAGACTTGAGTTCCTTAGCAGAAACAAACATTTTTTTCTGCACCATTAAATATAAAAACAATCCACTCATTTCTATCAATTGTATATAATTAATTGTATCTAATTAATAATTTAATGATTTTAAATCAAATACAAATAACAATAGCTGTTGATGTGAAAGCAGAGCATTATAAGCAAGCAAAGTCATACAAACTAAAAATCTGTTCTAATTGAGTGGAGTCCGACTGCTGACCCTTCAAAGGAACCCAATCACTCGAGAACCTCACATCAACACTCAGTAGCAGCTATGAATCTGCTTCCTCTGATCATAAGTAGTCCTGGAGTTGTTTTCTTTCCCTCAGTATCTGAAGGTTTTCTCTTGAGTGACTGGTTTTAAGCCAGTTTTCAATTTTTACTTTTAATGCAACCTGAAATGAAAATATTAGCCTCTTAACTCATGTATTGCTGTTTTCTTTGTGCATCCTAATGAGAAGAGAGGTGCTGTTACCGCCATTAAGGTATTTTTATGGACTTTATTGAGTTTACCTTAAGTCTTTTACAAGCATATTGGTTGAAATTAAGCTTGTCTGAAAAAGCCTCTGACTGAAGATGCTCTGTTTTCTCAAGACTGTCTTATGAAGAGGAAGGTCAGGTCAGGGTTGTCCATAACTTTCTTGGTTTGATGAACAATCCTTCTTTGCATTATCATCTTCTAAGGGCCCAGCATCTTGCTGCAAACCTTGAGGGATGTTAACTTCCTCAAGAAGAACAGTCTGCTCTGTTCCTTCTGATAGACAGCTTCTCTATTACATCTTCACTCTAGTCCCACAAACTAAATACTGAGGTATTTATATTTCTCAACCAGCTCCACTTCTCCCATGGTGGCAGTCTTTGCATGTAACCTCTCTGATTAGGGTTAATTGAGTAGTAGCATTCCAACAGGTCAGGTTTTCACCTCTCGCCCATTTCCGTCTTGTTCCAGTAGCCCATTTGTCATCAAGGTGTTCTGGTTCCCCAACACCTGACGCAGACTTTGTTTGGCCAGGCGACATCTGAGCCGGCATGATATGCATCTTAGTATCTCTTATGGTATGAGGTAGGCAGTAGCTTGAAGGGTCTTGCCTAAGGACCCAGACTGGATTCGAACCCCGCCCTGTCGGGTGAAAGACTGATGACTTAAGTAATGAGTTATCCAGGACGAAACATCTAAGATCCATAAATACATCAGGGACAAAGCCTCAACAGACAATGTGCTCAATGAATGTCTCAGACAACAGGGAACGGAGGTTGAGGTGCCAGAGATACCATCATGGGAGGACAAGCCCCTACATGGGATGTACCACCAGCAAATAAACCCAAGTGGCTGATATCAGTAAATCCTACCAATGGCTGGAAAAAGCTGGACTCAAGGACAGCACAGAGGCCCTCATCCTGGCCGCCCAGGAACAGGCCCTAAACACCAGAGCAATAGAGGCCCAGATCTACCACACCAGACAAGACCCAAGGTGTAGGTTGTGCAAGGAGGCCCCTGAGACAGTCCAGCACATCACAGCAGGGTGCAAGATACTGGCAGGGAAAGCGTACATGGAACAACATAACCAAGTGGCAGGCATAGTGTACAGAAACATCTGTGCAGAAAATGGACTGGAAACCCCGAGATCAAAGTGGGAAACACCCCCAAAGGTGGTGGAGAACGCCAGAGCTAAGATCCTGTGGGACTTCCAGATCCAGACAGACAAAATGGTAATGGCGAACCAACCAGACATTGTCGTAGTGGATAAACATCAGAGGAAAGCCGTTGTGGTAGATGTAGCAATACCAGCGATTGCAACATCAGGAAAAAGGAGCATGAGAAACTGGAGAAATACCAGGGCCTCAGGGAGAACTGGAGAGGGCCTGGAAGGTGAAGACCACAGTGGTGCCTGTGGTCATCGGGGCCCTCGGGGCAGTAACCCCCAAACTGGAGCAGTGGCTACAACAGATCCCAGGAACAACACAGACATCTCAGTCCAGAAATGTGCAGTCCTTGGCACAGCCAAGATACTGCGCAGGACCCTCAAGCTCCCAGGCCTCTGGTAGAGGACCCGAGCTCAGAGGATAAGAACCACCCGCGGTGGGTGAGAAGGGAATTTTTTTTATGTGTGTGCGCACACGTAACCCAAATTTCGATGGAGCAGTCTATGAAAGGAGTAACTGCAAGGGGGCCTTTAAGCATGACAGACTTGGATCTCATTATCAAAAAAAAAGAAAAATGGTAAAAGTATCAGTGGAAACATGCTTATTTTAAGGAAACTGCTATATTGCCAATTATATTAGTAACTGCAAAGGGAATACTTTTGGGTTTTTTTTTTAATCAAGCAAGTAATTCTTGCTTGAAGTAATTTTGAATCTAAACCTTACCTAAACCTTCCAAGGTAGATTTAAGTTTGTGCTTAACTTTGTTACATAGTTATGAAACAAAGAGGCAAAATATACAGAAGAGCCTGACAAAACTCACCCTTCTGATTTCTGACAGAGCAACCATCTCTGATCCTATTGGAGTCAGATATCCAGACATTGACTGGAGCCAAAAAAGAAAAGGAGAGAGAAAAAAAAGATATTGTTACTGACATACTAAACAAATACAAGAAGTTTTATACATAAAAATGTTTCTAGAAGACATCCTTATTAGAAATGTATCTCTCATGTCTATGAGAATCTTGGGGCAAATTAAGACTGTTGTTGTGATCATAGATAATGGCAAATGGCATATTGAGAACCACACTTTGGCATCAGTCTAAAAAAATACTAACATGCAAAAACTGATATGCAATGTGCACAGAAAGACTCAATTTAAAATACTGCACAGGCTCCACATTATGCCAACACAGAGGGGGTAGGTTAGAGTTAGGTTCTTCTGCCTGTAATAAATGTAATTTAGATCTTGTAGTGTACACGCATATGTTTTGAAAATGTGCACAGACTGAGAAGTTTTTTGAGACGTACAGGGTGATGTAACCTCTGATTGGTTAATGTGTAGAATTAAGACCATTTCACTACATTTTGCCAGCTACAGTGGACATTACTTGTAACACACAGAACACCAAAATGACAGTAATAAGTACACATGGTGCAAGGAAGGCCATCTGGCCATTCTGGATATTATATTTCCTAACAATTGACTGACTAGTATAATGGCCTTTTGAGAATTACCCTACTGTAAAATCTAACATACACCCTACAGTATAACAGTGAGGAATAAAATCAATCAATCAATCAATCAAATTTTATTTGTAGAGCACATTTCAGCAGCAAGGAATTTCAAAGTGCTTTACATCATAAACACAAGAACACAAAGTCATGCATCATGAATAAACAATACATTGTTACATATTACATTTCAAATACAATTCTAAACAGGTGTGTTTTTAGTTGAGATTTAAAGGAAGTCAGGGTTTCTACTGTTTTACAGTTTTCTGGAAGTTTGTTCCAAATTTTTGGTGCATAGATGCTGAAAGCTGCTTCTCCTCTCTTGGTTCTGGTTCTGGGGATGCAGAGCAGAACCAGAACCAGAACCTGAGAGTCTGGAAGGTTGATACAACAACAGCAGATCTTTGATGTATTGTGGTGCTAAACCATTCAGTGATTTATAAACTAACAACAGTATTTTAAAATCTATTCTTTGAGCTACAGGGAGCCAGTGGAGGGACTTTAAAACTGCTGTTATGTCTCTATCTTCCTGGTTTTAGTGAGAACAGGAGCAGCAGCTTCTGGATCAGCTGCAGCTGGATGATTGATTTGTTGGACATGCCTGTGAAGACGCTGTTACAATAATCAATGCGACTAAAGATAAACGCATGGATGAGTTTCTCTAGATCTGGCTGAGTCATTAGTCCTCTAATCCTGGAGATGTTCTTCAGGTGATAGAAGGCCGACTTTGTAACTGTCTTTATGTGGCTCGCAAGGTTCAGGTCAGAGGTCATCACTACTCCCAGGTTTCGGGCTGATCGCTGGTTTTTAGTTGTAATAACTGAAGCTGTGCATTGATTTTAGATCGTTCCTCTTTAGGTCCACTTCATAACAGTCATAAATATTCATGAAGACTTACTCATGTTGACAGGTGTTTTGTCATGTTTATTACATTGTCATGTCAGTTTTATGCACACCCCGTCAGAGTTACAAAAAACATGTGTTTATTTTTTATTAATGAAGATAAATTATTATCAAACATCTTAATATGAAAACATGTTCATATTAAAATCAATGTTCATCTTTTTTCAACTATCCAATATATAAGAAGGAGGGGGGAAGGAGAAAGGGAAGCAGTCACGCCGTCTCAAGTTGATTTATCAGCTTGTTTTGGAATATTATGCTCCTGATATGGGGCGGACTCCATCCTAGTCAGACATCCTTGAGCCTGTTCTTCTGAAGCGTGATCCCGTCGCTGTCCTTGTTGATAAAATAAAAAAGGTTTGCGTGTTTATTAAGATTGCGTCCTCCTTTTCCAAAAAGGTGAAAGCTCTGCCAATAGATCCAGAGGTTATCATGAAGATCACTGAGCTGGTAAAGCAGCTTTTAATCAGCCATTTGTTTATCGAGACCAGCTTGGAGTATTTTTCGGCTCCCCTTTGAGGTGATGGAATTGGACCACTGAGAAATAACTTCATTTTTAATTTTCCTATAGTGTTCAGAAGAATATTAAAGTGCTTTTTCAGAATCTCAGACTTTTGCTTTGCCAGATCGTTGGCTCCACCATGCACAACTAAAGTCTCAATATCTGGCTGATCAGTGGTTACAGAGAGCAGTTTGTTGGTTAAATCAGATACAGTTTTGGAATATTTTTTGGAATATTTTTTGAATTTTTTTTTGATCACCAGGAAAATATTGTACATCACTCTTGTTTTCCTGGGATTGCAAACGTCACTGATTCCCTTTACTGCCTCATCTCCAACAATAAGCACTTTTGGGATACCTTTTGTATTCCTGGTGGTCCATTTGTCCTTTGGAGCTTTGGGGGATGGATGTGTTGGTCTTGCCTCACTGTTGATATTTGAAGGCGAAGTTTCACTCAGAGGCTCAGGCTGGAGTGTAGAAAATCATTTTTTTTGTGGGATTCCGACAGAGTCAGAATGTTTTGAGGCTCGTGCTGGTTGCTTTGTCCCTGGGAGCGGGTCAGCGGGGTCGGTGGAGGTGTTTTGGTTGCAGCTGCTTATTTATCTTTCTTTGGCAGAGCAGGCGTTGAAGTAGAAGGCGGTTTCGGCTCAGAGACGGCCACGCTGATTCGTCCAGGTACGGGGTTCTCCCTGATAGTCGTCTCAACAGATCCGCAATGCGAGACTCCCGTTTCGGCTTGGCACCCAGAGCATTCCAGGGTGAGCTGCTCGGTGCAGGGCGCACAATCTCCGCTGATTTGAGGAAGGGTTGTCTCATTTCCATAGGTAGCGTTGATCTCAAAGTTCACCTCCAGCAGTTTTTTAATCTTCATTTCTATAGACTGAAGTCGTAAAATACTGCTCATGTCCCTGGGGTCAGCCGGAGGCAGTTTGCTCTGGTTTAACTTGGAGGTACAGAAAAGTAAGCTAAAAATTAAAGCTGCAAGCAGCCTCGAACGGCCCTCGCAGCCAAGCGCCGCTCCCCCAAAAAGCCAATTCATTTGGAGGGAGAATCGTAATAATAAGAAACAGTAGGAAAGCAATAGGCCTTCGCAGCGCTTAGCTGCTCGGGCCTAATAAAAGTAAGAAAATCCCCCAGTCCTTAGGTTTGGAGTGATCCAGTTAAGATGTCAATAATGTAAATATAACTATAAAAACTCACTTTAAAAATAATTCACAGGCAGAATTATCAGTAAGGACGAGAGAGAGCAGGATGAGCTGTTCCTCCTTCAGCAGTCAAATCAAAAATATGGACACCACTCATAGACAGACTCAGTAGGCCTAGATGAACAACCCAAACAGCCCAGTATACTCCATTAAATATTATAAATAGATTAAAAATTTTCTAAGGAAGCCCAGCATGACTTGTAGCATTCACTCCTGTTAGTCAATGCAGCTGGCATGGATTGCTGTATGCCCTGGGTATGATACCAAGCATTCATGTAGTAGTTATAGTCATCAATGCTATAACTAGCAAATGTGTATGCATTTGTTGTGAGAATCTCAAATATATCTTATTAAAACAAAACTGTAAGAGCCAAATATGTGTATTTTTGGGTGTTTGGTCACTAGATGGAGCTGCGGCCTCAAGTATATGAGCCAAGGGACGGCAGGTCTTGAGCCCATAAGGGCATACAAGTTTTTGACCACTGTGACAGAGTCATTGTTAATGCTGTTGCTGTGTATTGTTCACAACTGGTTTCATCTGAATAGAATAAATTCTCAATTTGGACTCCAAAGAAGACCCTTGGGATTGACTTTGCATAGTACAACAGGTACAACGTCAGCTGTTCAGCATGTCATAATAAAGCAGCAACGGATTAATACTGAACTAGTGCACTATTAACTGGCTAGTACTGTCCTTCCTCTTTTTGGACTTTGTGATGATGACACCACAAAGCGCAATTGGGGGCAAAGCAGACTGAAACAGTTGGAGCTGCTAAGGGCTAGTAAAGTGTCTGTAAGCTAGATTAGTGCTACAGAGCTGAAGCACCAGGCTGCGGACTGCGGCAGCCGAGGGCCAGATGGACACGGTGGCAGCCAGTTAGTGAGCGAGGAGGACCGGATCGTGGCAGGGCATTGTGAATTGGATCACAGAATGTCAACAGGCACCCAACGAGTATTTGTAGTGCTACACCATTGATGGCCATTTTTGTGTGTGTGCACAATACTTTGGTAATTGCAGCATTTAAATAATGAGGCTCTTTAACAGCTTTTTAGGCTCCCAGAGCATTCCAGGGTCTTTAGGAAGATCTTTAATCGGTCCCTGTCTCAGGTCACAATCCTAAACAAATCACCTATCACCTGCCTGAACGACTGCCAACCAGTGGCTCTCACCCATTGATGAGTCACATCTTGCCGTTCATTTCTCGCACCTTTGACACACACCAGTTTGCTAACAGAGCTAACAGGTCGACTGAGATGCTGCTGCCACTTTCCTGCATGCTGTATTTTCCCACCTGGAGTACCGGAAGAGTCACGCATCCTCTTCCATTGAATTCAGCTCTGCCTTTCAGTACCATCCTCCCTGACAGACTGGTGTGCAAACTGTCAGACCTAGGAATGCCCTCTTCCACCTGTTGCTGTATTCAGGACTTCCTGATGAATAGCAAACAAAAAGTCAGACTGGGCCTCCATACCTCTTCAGCTATCAGCACTGGCTCTCCCCAGGGCTGTGTGCTGAGCCCTCTGCTCTTTACGCTGTACACACGATTGTGTTTCAGTCCATCACAGTACCACCCTTCTTAAATTTGCAGATTACACAACTGTAGTGGTTCTTGTCTCGGAGGGGAGGGGGGATTGAGTGTGCCTGAAGGCAGTTTCATCCACCCCATGCTATGGAGTGACTCACAGCATGATACACAGACAACAACTTCATTCTTAACAGGACAAAGACCAAGGGTCTCATGGATTTTAGTACAAGTAAAGGAGACAGTCAACCACTACTCATCTCCGACGAGCCAGTGGAGAAGTTGTCAAACTTCTGTTTCCTGGGAGTTCATATCATGGATGTCCTGGCCTGGGATATAAACACTATTAAAGCCTCAGACTATCCATCAATCCATTGTACACCCTTGTCTCTATTGGAGTCAGGAGGTGCTGGTGCCTGTCTCCAGCTAATGGATCGGGCGAGAGGCAGGGTCACCGTGGACAGGGCACCAATTTGTCGCAGGGCAACACAGAGCTAACAGGACAAACAATCAAGCAGACACACTCTGCTTGATTGTTTAATTTATAGAGACCAATTAACCTGACAGCCATGTTTTGGGGGCTTTTTTGTGGTAGGAAGCCGGAGTGCCTGGAGGGAACCCACGCATGCACACTCCATGTAGAAAGACCCTGGGCCAGGAATCGAACCCACGACCTTCGTGCTGCAAGGCAACAGTGCTACCAACTGCACCACTGTGCAGCCCTCCTCAAAATATAGCAAATTGATGTATCCTATTACTGATTGGTTTTAACATGAATGTTTTCATACTCTTGTTGGAGTTGATGTTTACAATATTTGGTACTAAAATTAGCACATTTTAAGGTAGATTTTTGAGGCTAACTTTACTTAGAATAGAATCAGATGAAAATTTAGTGTTATTTACTTACAGGTATGGGAGTTCCTCTCTCTGATGGAGGTATCATGTCAACAGTGAGGACTTGGGGTGGGTCAATACCCTTGCCTACTTTCTGATGGATGAGATGCATCGCAAGGGCAAACTGCTCCCTGTTCAGTTTGCCTATCTGTCTTGTATCTGCCAAAGACCTGCAGAGCAGAAGAATACATAGCTAACAAAATTACATTTATTTTACTCAGAATTGCTGTGCATGCCAACAGAAAATAACAAGGATCACCCAAGTGATTCCAGTTACTTCAGGTGCAATTTGTGTCATTGTGGAAGTTTGGGTTAGAATATAAAGCTATGTAAAAAAAAAATAAAAAGTGTAATAATAACAGTCATCCCAACACTGTTAGAAAACCTCTAAAATCAAGAGAGTACTTTAACTTACTTTCTATCTCTACTTTTGACCCTTTAGCTGGCTTTTGAACATGTCATGTGTGGTTATCAAGGGCTAATAGATATACACAGTCTTATACTCGTCCTCGAAGTGGCCGTCGCAAGTTAGAGCCCCATCCAAGTTACCTTTTCTTTCTCATTACCTACTTTCCTGTCCTAGCACTTTGAAATAAAGGCCACTAAAGCCAAAAAATAAAAAATAAACAAAAAACTACACAAAACAAAGTTCATTCATATCCACTTTGGTGCAAGATGGTGCATGTGTGATTTAGAGCCAGCCATATGCGAACAGCTAGAGATTGAAATTTGCTATTCTGCTGCTCTGACATTCCAGTCACAAGACAAAGTGGACGAAAGGATGCAGCATCATAATGTTCTTTCATCTAACAGGTTGAAATCTATATGAATCAGAGTAAAAGGAAGATGACCAAAGGTAAAATAAGTGATTTTACCTTGGGATGGGGTTAAGATGATGTCACCATTTGACCAAGTGAATGTGTTGGGCACTGGTTTGCTATGACACCCAGAACGTTTGTGTGGAAGCTACTTTACTCCAGAGGATACATGTCAAATGGTTAGATTTAGAGGCTTGGCTGTACTCACATAGTGTAATGCTGCAAAAAACTTTTGATAACGTTTGATCATCAGAAGTTCAAGACTGTGATGAGTAATTGGGAAGTCTGCAGGTAAAACGTTGCAGCAGTAGATCACCAAGATCCAAACAAGCTGACTGCCTGTTGGGTTTGGACCACCAATCCAAGAGACTTTTTTGTGGGACCTGACAAGTTACACGTGTAATTTCATGCTCCTTGGTCAAGGCATAGATAGGGGCTGTTTTTTTTTTTTGGTGTTGTTTTTTTTTCTAGGGAGTGCTGTGGAAGAATTAGGCCACGCCCACCAAATATCACACTGCATTCCTGTGAGGGGCTGGATTAGGAACGATCATGGTGGGTTTTATCTGCTTTGTCATATGTCAAAACAAGGTTTTGATCAATTTTAATCCCCTTCCCTCAACTCCATACTGAAGCTGACAAGCTCAAAATATAAACAAATCAAATACAGGTATTAAGATTAAAAATAATAAAATTTTTATATTTGTTTTTCAGACAATCAGAGGCTTAAGATTAAGTGAAAAAATAAAATACTTTTGGCGGGATCTACCTATTAACCGAGTTTCAGAACTCTTGAATGTACAGTAGTCAATGTGACACTGTAAAGACCCCTAAACTAAGGGGGATTTAACTGAAATCCAACAATTACTTGTGGAGAACAAGTTTTGGTGAAGTTTGGTGATTTTTTCGAATATGTTTAGGCCTCCAAAAAAAGCTCATAATATGGCAGAATAAGCAACAAGTTCAGGTAGGTTTGTAGATTTTATAAGCTCTTTTCAATTTGGTTAATATGTTTCAACTGAACAGACAAACAAAAACCAGCAGAACATCATTCTTCTAATTCTGAGAAGCTAAGAATTGTAGAATTAAGGTAAAAATACACCATCAGGTTAACATTAATTGGCACAACTAGCTCGGCTGTAATACTACAGCATAGTTAGAAGTACGTCAGATCAGAAATATCCCAAAGCTAAAAATAGTCAAATTCTATTCTAGAATAATACTAACTATTTTAAGGAAGCAGAGCAAACATCTTTGATTCCGGTTTGCTAAGAAAAGCTCAGATTTGAGACAATTACCTGGTTAAGCTGCCAACCATCATATTTCATTCCCCATCAACACGGAAATGTAAAATCTGCATATTTTGGTGTTGTCTTAACTGTATAAGTACTCTCATGCAGCATGTGATGGCATATTTATGTTTTTAGATGCTGAATTTTGCATGTTAACGGCTGTATTTTGATTTTGAAAACCCAGAGCTTAATAATCTATTTATTATAGTGTAAAAAGATAGGGAGTGTAAAATATGTATTAAAGAATCTGGACTTTACTGCACTGTTCTTGATAACAGTGCAGCTTTTCTTTATTACGCCACCATCACCTTTTCATTGTGGCAAAGGTGGAGGCAGTTCACCCTGCCACCATCTCCACCTTACTGGTTCGATGCCCACTCAACTCACCTCTGTCATTGTGTCCATGCATAAGACACTTCACCAGCATTGCCTGGTGGTAGAGGTCAGAGGGCCTGGTGGTGTCAGTGCATGACAGCCTCACTGTCATATCAGACTACCCCGGGGCACCTGTGGCTATTTTCCAGTAGCTTGGCACCATCAGGGCGTGAGTGTGTGCATTAATGGGTGAATGACTGTAGTTTGGAGTGGTTTGGGATCCTCTGGACTTGGTAATGAGCTGCACAAGTACAAAACCAATTAATTACAAAGAAGTGTAAAGATGCACCTTGGAGAACCTTTGCAATAAATCTGTGTTCTGAAGGAGAAAACGAAAAAGCCATAAAGGGTTATGTTATCATAGATGAGCAGAGTAACAGATCTCTGGCACACTCAAATTTCTTCGATGCATTTAGTGCTCAAGGCCCAGCTGCTTCTTACTCACTGAAGACTTGCTCTGAATGTCTGAAAATACAGGAAGAATAGCTTCAGGCTTCTGTAAAGAGTCAATGAATGGTAAAACAGTACAGCTACAAAGTCTGCTGGAGTGTAACAAGATACCAGACAACAGAGCAAAAATTCCAACACTGAGTGCTGCTCTTCAGCATGAACATGAACAAACCCTGCACCAAACTTCACCAAAGGTGCGATTCATGCAGCCGATATCTGGATTATTGGTATGAAGAGATTGGTTAGCAATGTCCTTTATCATTGTGTCACATGTTGAAAGCTCCACAACAAAAGACGGCTGACCTGCCAGCAGGTCATCTCTCCATTTAGTCAAATTGGATTGGATGTGTTTGGCCCATAGAATGTTGTTGCAAGGGTATCTGTATATTTAATGTCACCTGTCGGGTCCTAGTCTTATGTGTCACACCAGTCTGCTGTCAGCTGTCTATTCATTTGCCAGTTTGCTACCAATGTTGAGCCTAAACCTTCCACTCAGCTGTGCTGCCTGGATTTTAGATTTGTGTTTCACCATTAAATCTCCATATTTTTTCTACAACCTGGGTTCACTGCATTCTGTCTCACTACTCTTGACAAAGAGTTGTGGTCTAAGTGATCCAGTTATACTGCGGAATATGTTTTTTTCAAATCAGTTTTTTCACATGAGGGCTCTGGGGATAACTTTTCACAAGTAAGATGGACATATTATTATTTATGTTTTGTGAATAGAATATTACTATATACTACATACTATACTGAATGTATGTCCATCAGCGAAATGCCAGACATATTAGCTATCGTGCTTGGTGTAATACTGGGGTTCAGCACCACTATAAAGGCTATATTTTAAAAAGTTTTAATTATTCCCCAACATTGATTTAGATTATCTGACACCAGACCTTACCTTAGAAATAAGACAATATGCTATATTGGAAGAAAGTGGTCGACCACTCCAAGACAGCAGCCCTACATTTTGCCAACGACACATGGGAATATGTCCATGCATTTCTATACAATACAGACCAAAGGTTTGTACACAACCTTCTCATTCAAAGTGTTTCCTTTATTTTCATGACTATTTATAAGGCAAGAAAGCCACTTATTAACCTGACAGGTCACACCTGTGAAGTGAAAACCATTTCAGGTGACAACCTCTAGAAGCTCATCAAGAGAATGCAGAGTGTGTGGAAAGCAGTGATCACAGCAAAAGGTTGTTGCTTTGAAGAAATTACAATATAAGGCGTATTTTCAGTTGTTTTACACTTTTTTGTTTAGTACATATTGTATTTCCACATGTGTTAATTCATAGTTTGATGCCTTCAGTGTGAATCTACAATGTCAATAGTCATGAAAATAAAGGAAACTCATTGAATGAAAAGGTGTGTCCAAACTTTTGGTCTGTACTGTACATAGCCATTTCACCCTCTCCAGGCAGATGTTGCAGATTTGCAACAGCTCAGTGCTACTTAGCTAATCTTTGCAAGTAATTTGAGCCTGAGAGGGTTAAATAAATTATGAACTTGTACTTTGAAAGATTTCTTATATGCCAAAACGTTTTCAATTAATGTGTTCTTAAAACTGTACTTTCATATCATTTACCTGAATATCCAGAAAAGCTAGCCAATTCTGATATAAACTTCACAATATTCTACTATAAAATATTGACTTTATGTGAAACATGATTGCACATATAAGCTAAACACAACAGGAATAATTAAGTTTAACTGTAATGAAATGCAGACAAATCCTTTTGTTATAAAAACATGCCGATAAGGAAGTGTGTGCAGCTTTTTTGTTCCTGGTTCCACAAATCAGTCAAGGAGAACAGCTTGTCCTGTCCAAATCTCTTTATACTTGGTCAGAAGATGTTCCAATGTCGCTGAGAAGATTCTTTCATGCATGTGTTGTGTATGTTCTCGAGCGTAATATATTAAAACGCATCTGAAAAAAGACAAAGCAATGGAGGTAGGGCTTTCCCAGTTGTATCTTTTCACTTCTTAGTAATTAGTGAAAAGTTGCAGTTTTATTGAAAAAGCTACAAAACTAGATCCAGATTATTTAGTACAAACTTTGCAGCCCCAATCTCTGCAATTAGACATACTTTATTAACTCGCATTAAAATCCAAACTACAAAAGTAAACAGAGCACCTATAAAAACTTGCAACCATAATTAACAGAGTTAGCACTACTAACTGTTAACTATTGTCACTGATTACAGTAGTTAATACAGTAGTCTTGTAATCAAGACTTGTAATCAGCAAGTCTTTCCAATTAATATTACTCTGACTGAGCATTTTTAGCTTAATTTGAAATTTCTCAGAGTAAGCAGAGTGATTTATCTCTATTCTAAAGTATTCGATTGCTGCAGTTACCCCTTTTCCTGATGTACTTTTCCTACCACATTTTCTAATTCCTCTTAATTTTCCATAAATTTGCTTGGATTCAGCACTCTTTTGTAGGATATGCTCTTTGTGGAGGGTGCCAGTGGCTGCTTTCTGGATATCTGTCAAGTCTTCTGTCTTCCTTATGATTGTGTGAACTCCTAAAACCATTTAGAGGCTCAAGGACCCTTTGCATGTGTCTTCAATTAATCTTAATTGAATAACCCTAATACTACCTAATGGATGTTATACCATGGATTTGAATATTTGAATAATTCTTTAATAAATTAGTAAACTGTATCAAAACTGCAAAAAATTGAGGCTTACTGGTTTTCATTCAAAATAATCTATGGAATAATTTCTGACAAAAAATGAACTTTTTCATAATATTCTTTTTTGGGGGGCGTGACCGTATGATAGTTGTATACTACAAGTTTGACTGAATTGTTAGGAAAAAAACTGAGAATGCAAGAACATATGACTTAAAGTCCCAACCAGTAATCAAAATTTTATCTTCTTACATGTGGACAGGTTTTCAGGTTTTAAGATAACATTTAAACAGTTATTTGCCACAGTGGAATTTTTTGGTAGATAGGGCTGGACTGCCGGTGTCTATTCAATTTTCAAACACACAATAGCGACCACCTATTCTTACCATATATGTGCAAGGATGTTCTGAGAAAGTCCAGATTGAATGAAGATATCCTTTACTTCCTGTCCACTGACAAAGCCATCCAGATCTGCATCCATCTTCAGAAAGATGTCATCATAGCGACCACGTTCTGACAATGGCACCACCCAGTTGAGTGAATGCTAAAACATGAAAACATGCATGTAACTTCATATCTTGTGATCTTTTGAACTTCTAATTGTCAACCAGTCAAATACCCTGTTTTGAGGTTATACATACAGAACAAAACAATAACTAAAGTTCACAACTATTTAGAAAAGTCTAGTATTTCAAATAGTATTTCAAATAAAATAACCTGAAGGAGCATTATTATAACTGTTCCATTCAACTGTTATGAAAATGCTATATATTTGTAAAATATGACTTGAAAGAAATTTGACACCTTAAAATTTAAAAACTCCTGCTTCTTTTGAAACCCCCACATACAGAAAGTCACCACCACACTGCTCATCTATTAATCCTTTCACAACAATTTTACCAGCATTTCATCAAGAAGTAGCTCTTATAATCATCTGTTGTAATGATCCAGCTCAAGGAGGAGATGTACCTTGGTCCACCCAGGTGTTTTGCACAGCTGAATGGCTGCCACATGAGATTAAAAGATATTGTAAACATGCATGAACGAATCAAAGTAACATGGCAGGTGCAGCCCTTCTCAAAATTATTGGCACCCGTTCAAGTTTTGCATAACTGAGTGAATATGTTCAGAAATAAATGGAAATGTTCAAAATGTTTATTTAGCAGGATCTTTTAGTCAGACGTCCAGAGCATTTTAAAGTAATTAATTTGCAAAATAGATATTTTAATTCCATAGGACAAAACAGAATACCAGAATGTGCACTAATATTGACATCATAACTTAATATTTGGTTGTACTCTTTGGCAGCAATGACAGCCTCTGGATGTTTCTTATATCCATCTATAACATTCTATAACAAATTCTCAAGTGGCATTTTCTCCCACACTTCTTTTGCAGTTTGCTCAAGCTGTTGAACATTTGACGGGTTCCTTTCTCCAATGGCAGATTTCAGCTCCACCCAAAGATTTCCAATTTGAATGGGAGCAGGACTCATTGCTGGCCATTTTAAAAGTCCATTTTTTCCCTTTCAACCATGCCTGCATGCTTTTGGAGGTGTGTTTTGGGTCGTTATCTTGCCAGGACCCAGGATCTTCACCTTACACCAAGTTTCCTTACGCTGGGCAAGACATTTTGCTCTGGAATTGCTTGATTATCTTATGATTTCATGATGCCTGTGATATGGTCAAGGCCTCCACGACCAGATGCTACCAAGCAGCCCCATAGCATTATGGATCCTCCACCATCCTTCCTTAAAGACTTCATTGCACCATCTGTAATCATACTGTTTGTGTGAATAACAAAAAAATGTTACTTTATTTTGAAAAACTACCACCCGGCATAACACCAGCTCCTGCCTGTCCAGCTAAGCCAAGGGTTACGCAGCTAGAGTTGATTATTATGTAATACACTCAGCAGCCACTTTATTAGGTACATTTTGCTAGTACAGGGTTGGACCCCCTTTTGCCTTCAGAACTGCCTTAATCCTTCGTGGCATCCTTCTGCGCACACATCAACAGCTATTGTTATTTTTATTTTATGTAAAATTATTTAATCATGAACATGGTAAATAAATACAATTTGTAGAAATCGGTAGATATTTTTCATACCTTATGGTGCAGAAGAGGATTTTTGTTTCTGTAATTTGCAGTATTTAGACTTAGACTCGTACTTTATTGATCTCTTGGGAAGACTCCCTCAGGAAATTGAACAAATTTGAACAAATATTAATTCCTCCTCCTATTTCCCAGTTATTTTATATTACAATTAGCATTCCTAATTGCACTTTCTGATCCATTTGACAGAAGGTTTATTGCAGTTCATTTTTGGAAGTTTGACCAAGGTAGTTCCACTTGCAATACAGTTCTAAAAACAACTCAGTGGCATTTTTTTACTTAAGTCTCTATGACTTTATACAACAGAAAACTGACAGATTTCAATAGCATGATGGAGGCATAATTGGATTTGTTGAACATCACCTTTTACAAACAGAATCTTCAATTTAATGGGCTTAATTTAGTTTGGCCTACTGCTCTTATTTACAATCTTCACTGAAAGATATAATGCATAATGAATATGGTTCTTCTATAATAGTCTATATTTTGTTTCTTTTTGTTCAGTCAAGTATGTCACAAAAGTTAATGTACATTTACTTGCTATAGTGCCTAGTATTAGTACATCAGTGTGAAAGAGTTTATTACCGGTCCTGACTTGAGAGTGTGTTTGGGTGACAGGCTGCCGGTGCTGTTGAGGGATGTCATGCTGCCATGAGAGGGTGTGGAATGTAGTGAGTCTTTCAGTGGTGGGGAGCTGGCTGGTAGTCCAGGAACAGGACATTGCACTGAACAGAAGCTCTTCTTCCTCTTTGATGGAGGAATGAGGGAAGAGGGGAGGAGCACGGGAATCGCCTCCTTCTCTAAGGCCCGATACACAAGGTGCATGGCCTGAAAGAACAGAATCTTCTTTAATAGTTGCACAAAGAGCTTTTCTGAAACACAAAATGTGCCACAGACATCAAAAAATGCTTCAAGTCTACACATTGGCACAAGTACCAAAAAACCTTTACGACTGTCAAAATGTCTGCATATACCATCACAGACACTCTGACTAACTTAACTGGGATTAAAAATGTTGATACTTTCTGATAAAGCTTATTGTTAGAGTAGCTTGGGTCATCCTGAGCTGGCTCTGTAGTCATTGTGTCACTGATATGACTGCAGGAGAGCATACTGACCATTTTCTCTCTGCCGTTTCCTCCTTCTAAAAGTTCATGAAGAAAGATGAAACTTAGCAATTTTATTTGTCGTTTTTATATCAAACGAATCTCAAAGGGCACATTCACACACTGATGATGGCATGCTACTTGACAGTAGCCACAGCTGCCCTGTTGCAGTCTGACAGAAGCCATTTTGTGCCATCGGCCCTCTGACCACCAGAAAGGCACAATGGCAGGAGAACAGAAATCAAACCAGCAACTCACTGATTGAGGGACAAACTCCTCCCACCATTGCTGACATTGTTCTCATCATAATTACTGTTTGCAAGTTAAGGACATCAATAATACTCACCACTGCAAATTCATCCTTGTCCAGATGGCCATCTTTATCAATGTCACTCAAATCCCAAACCTAATGATGAGAAATAAACAGAGAAGAGTCAATGTGGGCCAGGATTAAAATGTGTTGAAAGTAAAACTGTAAATAGAAAAAAAAATAGAGACTTAGTGTCATGTTGGGTTAATGTCTTTTAGGGTTAGGAATACAATGAGGAGAACAGGAAATCAGATAAAGTTTATTTTAACAATGATGAAATGTGAGATTCTTGTCCTGTGGATGGGAAGCCAAGGTCATCTGAACTCTGAAGACAGTGGGAGAGAGATCGTGAGATTAATGGCAAGTTGGACAAGTTGAATTATGAGGAACTGGAATGATTTTAGTTGATGAAGTGATTAGTTTCCACCAGGGGGAGAAGTACTGTGGTCTCTGAGGTTGTGGTCTCTTTGCAGGTGGTTCTTGAGATAATCCAAGTTTCAGTGTGATCTTGACGTAGAGTTCTTTGGAGGCTGATAGAAGAGTTTTGCGGTGGAGGGCAGACAGGGAATTTCTTGTGAGCAGAAGTGAGGAGTGGTCGCAATAGCCAGCCAAGAAACCAGGACGTGTCAATGATTCTCCAGCTGAACTGAGGTGGAGAGGGACTCAGGCTACCAGTGGGTAAGATCTACGGCGTCACAAGGAAAAACTAGAAAGCCAGGAACTTGAGCTACACGATGGGTTGAATCTAGTGATGGGTCTGGCAACACCGATGTGTCGGCGCACGCATCTAGCCCATGGACAAAACCCTGTGTCGGTGTACGTATTGCTTTCAGTAAGTCACGTGACCGACTTTCAAAATGACACGGGCACCCCAAACTGTGTCTATAAGGAAGCAAATCTGTCAAAATTTGCCAAAAGAATTCTTGACCTTTTATGGTACAGCGTCAATATGGAGCCTCAAGGCAAATGAAAGGTTTTGTAGTTTGGGACCATTTTGATCAAAAAATAAGGTGTTGGTTATCACTTCTTTGTTGTTTCAGTTTCAGTTTCTACTTGATCAATGTGAATCCAAATTCAGCTGAAAGTGACTCTTAGCTTACTTTCATATTATGTTCTGCAGGTTATGTTGCATATGTTTGACAGAAGTGTCTTATTTGAATAAATCCATCTCCTCAATGCTGAGGCATCATAGGGCAACAGAATGAAGTCCCAGATACACCGAGGATAAACCCAGGTATACATCCATTCCTCAAATTAATCAGTTGCTTTTTATAAATTATTTCATGGAAATGTATTGTTTACTTCATTTTTTTTCTACAGCAGGAGAAGTTGTGTCAACAAAGTGTAACAGACAAAATTTCAAAATGTTGGAAAAATAGATTTTTTGAATGAAAATTTGTGAAATCTCCCCAACCCCCAGCTTCACAAGCATTCATGTTTCCCACAATCTTTTCATGTGGCCTGAACCCACTGGCTAGGGTTAACAGAGTTGCAGCATTCCAACAGTTTCTTATCCCCTTCCCATGCCCATGATGTCTTATTCCAGTAGCCAGTTTGCCGTCACAGTTCCCCAACATCTTACGCAAGCCTCATGTGTGGTATCTTATATTTATTACACATAAATATAAGAAATATCTGAATTTATATGGTGTGGTTTCTTCCTGCGTATGGATTACTTCGGTAATCCAAGTATGGATTATGATATTTGTTTTTCTTACCACTGCAAATATCTGGACACAGAATAGGGCATTTGTTGAGTATCAGTGATGTTCAGGAAAGTTCTGGCCGTTAGGATTAAGTTCATATTTAAAAAGATCGGAGACATGTCAAATATTCAAATGGCCTGGGTTGCATTCTAAAAAAATCTGACCTGTATTTTTCAGACTGTCATGAAAAGGTCCGATACAGGTTGCATAATGTCAAAAAAATGTAATTGGGTCAGTTCAGGCCGCCATGTGAACACAGCCTTTGTGAGAGACCTGGAGGTGGCAGGTCTCTCACAACCTCTATCCACTCTCAACTGACCGCAAGGATCTGAGTAACACAGTGCCTGACATGTTCCCCTGCTTAAGCTGGTACATATCAGGGCCCGTCTGAAGTTTGCTAGAGGGCTATTGGGTGTTCCAAAAGAGAATTGCGAAAATATCATATGGTCAGATGAAACCAAAGTAGAACTGTTTGGCAGAAACACAACTCGTCATGGTTGGACGACAGTGCTGAGTTGCATCCAAAGAACACCATAACTACTGTGAAGCATGGGTATGGCAGCATCATGCTTTGGGGCTATTTCTCTGCAAAGGGACCGGAACCAGCTATGATTCCTGTACATGAAAGAATGAACGTATAGTGAGATTTTTAGTGCAAACCTCCTTTCAACAGCAAGTGCATTGACGATTAAACATGGCTGGGTCTTTAGGCATGACAATGATCCCAAGCACACTGCTGTTGCAACAAAATAGTAGGTTAGTAAGAAGCATTTCAAGGCCTGGACTGGCCAAGCCAATCTCCAGATCCCAAACCCACATGAAATCACTGCTCTAGAGGAAATCTGCATGGCGGAATGGGCTAAAATACCAGCAACAGTGTGTGCCGATATTTAGTGACCTGGGAGGAATGCGGTGCCGAGGAACATATTTGGGTTCCTCGTTCATTCATTTTGAATCCTTCCCTTTATTGAAGACTTTGAGGCGTCGCAGCCATCTTGTTTGGCTTGACCACCAGGTGGCAGCTGTTAAGGGTGGGGTGTTGTTGGGTTCTGCTGTGAGTGTACGTGTGAGACCTCCTGTTCCCTTTAGGATCTTTGCTGCAGAGAGGGGACCTGCTGCCACCAGCTGTAGACAATTGGCTTATCAGCAAGATGCTATACTTAAAGAAGGGTAGGAGGAACATTTGATGCCTCATCATTTATCTATTCTGGTAGTCTCAAGCCCTTTGAGATTTAAAACTCTGTGTTTTCCAAAGCTGTTTTACCTTTGTGTCTCCTGTGTCTTGAGGTGGCTGTCAACTAACGATGGTGAGATGAAGCCTCATGAGGCATTGAACCACTTGAGCCAACTGGTTTGAGAAAGGGTTCATTTCTTGAAGCTTCATGTACTCATGAAACCACCTACTGGCCAGGTGTATAATCACAGCCAGCTGTATCTTAACACATGTGATGCATTGAATTTTTATCTATTGTGACTCTTGGGAATGACGTCACAAAAGGTGTAGGACGAAATCATTTGTCTAAATTATGTATATACATATGTGTATAATAAAGTATTGTTTGAATGTATTCTCTCTGTGTAATTTTTCCCAAAATAGTAGTGTCATGTGATATGACATGTTGTGTAATAATGTTTTTCTGTGACTCTAGCAAAATGACTTAATCAGGCAGAGGACAGTTAAGTGCTGGTGGAACTAGGGAGGGGGTAGTGAATAGGCTAATGCTTATGTAACTTGGATGATTTCATGCATTGTTATTAAGAAACAATTTCTCCACAGTTTTTTGGTTTCAAACGATAACTCTTTTTTGACACTACTTCTCCAGCCTTTGAAAAGACACGCACCTAAATCTCCTTTCTCTCTCTCTCTCTCCTAAACTCCCCAATCACCAAACTAACTCTCTCAAACTAAATAACCACTCTCCAAACTCTGCTATCAAACCTCTAACCACTTTCTCAACTGACCACAACTCATCTACAACAACCCACATTTTGAATGGAGCCTGTGGGGTTCATAAAGCTGTCAAACCCCGCGCCAAAACCTGGATCACTTCCCAAACCAGTCACCTGTACAGGCCTCTGACGTCATCGTTTTCGGCTCCTCCCCTAAATGAAGCAAGCCTCGATACACGCTTTACGGAAACGTCCCCTCCATTACTCGACACACACTTCAAAGCCTCGGCACGTCACGTAACGTCACTACTGTCAACTTACCGGACGACATTCTCAGGTAAGTGGAACTTTCTGAAATTCTGAAAGCGCTGAAGACCCTTGAAGATGAATGCTCCCTTGAACCAGCCTCAGTGACACCTGCCTGCCTGCTCTTCCACGAAAAGATCCTGAAAGCAACTCCTGGTTCAAAACTCCTTCAAGTCAAACTCTCATGACTATTGAAAGCTAGGCTGTTCTCACCAGCATAAACCGACATCCCTGCAGCTTCTTACAGTTCTCACCCCAGAACTGTAAGATAACTTTTGATTTCAAAAGTTATCATCTAGATTCAGGCCCTGCTGAAACTAGATCCCCCCTGAAGACTTCTGTGCTGAATATTTTTTGTACATATTGTAAATAAATTATATTTGCATTATCATTCTGGTGTCTGCTGTGTGCTTTTGCATGTTAATTAAATGACTACCAATGAACATGACACTGTCATTGCCATCAAAGGATACATAACAATGTCCTGACATAAACTTTTGTTATTGACCAAGTACTTATTTTCCACCATAATTTAATAAATTCTTAAAAATTCAGAAAATGTGATTTTCTAGATGTTTTCTCATTTTGTCTCTCATAGTTGAGGCCTATCTATGAAGTCAGTCACAGGCATCGCTCAGCTTTTTAACAGAGAACTTGCACAATTGGAGGCTGACAAATTACTTTTTTCCCACTGTACATCTACAGCAAAATAAGGTCATTTTTATTTTTAGCCTTTAATGTCATTAATACTTCAAGACAAATGCTTAGCTGGGAAACCAGTGCACAGAAAATTACACAGAAGGTTAGTGTGATGGCCAAACCCATGGCTACATTCTTAAATCGGTAACTCTTTTTTGCACAATTTATTTCTTAATCTATTTTGGGGTGTTTCGTTTAGTCAAACTTAGCTGTACTGTGATTTTTTGTTAGTGATTGTATTCAGTTTAGTCACCCCTATTATGTCTTCATGGTCTGATCAGCCAGGATATAAACCCCTGTGTCTCATTTCTCTGTTAGGTCAGTTTTTTTTGTGACTATTTTGTTTGCATGTTTGACTGAGTTCAGTTTTGTTTCTTTGACCTCTTTTAGGAGCTCAGTTATCTTTTTCTCATATATATTTGGTGTTAAAATAAAATAACATGTATATTTTTCTAATATTTTCTGACTCCTGTTTTTAATGCAGTCCTTCAGGGTCACAGTGTGAGACTTTTGTTAGAGGAACATAAAATGACAACTGTGTATACTTTTCAGTGGAAATGCTGATTGTGGTTTTACCAAAATCAAGTTGTAGCCTCTGTTGCTCTCCCTCAGTCAACTAAAGATCAAGGATCACAGACAGCTCCATGACAAAGGATTACAAGACAGAAGCTAGGCCTTATTGGAAAAGAGACAGAAGCTAAAAACCTCTAAAATATATACATTTCCAACAACACATCTCGACAGACTTATGTCAAGATGGAGAGGAGAAAGCCACTCTGTGAACATGCCAACACAACTTTTGTCCCATCTTTACATGCTTCCGATGTTGTCATGATCCGTGTTTTCTGTTGTGTTCATTTGAGTTTTTCTGTTTTATTCTGAGTTTCTGTGTCCTGAGTCTCCTTGTTGTCCTGTCTTCCCAGGTGTGTCTTGTTTCCTTGATTACCCTCAGTGTATTTAGTCCCTCCTGTGTCCTTTGTCCCTCGTCGGGTCCTTGTCGTACTGTTGTCGTATTTTTGTCTTTGTCAGCCGTTGTTTGTTGAAAGCCGCTTGAATGACCAGTTGCTACTGGCGTTGAGCCCTGGCTTCCGCTCAGCCGTGCTGCCTGGCCGCGGACTTTGTTTGTTGACTGTGTTACTGGACTATTTTGTATTAAATTCACACCTACTCAGTTACCTGGGTCTCCAGCGTCTGCCTCACCACCTCCACCTCACCAATCCATGACAGATGTAGAATACAGTCTTTAAGCTGCCTCTTCCACGCCCCAAGGGACGGGCTTCTACCTTGATTGTGACTTTTAAACATGTCTTTGCATAAAATGGACATTCCAAAAAAACTAAAACTGTTCAGAATTGCCATATATACCTTGCCAAGGACATCTAGAGGTAGCTTGGAATTGATGAGGACTGGTCTGACCTTCTCTCCTGACAGAAGGCCGTTGATGGGCACCAGACTTTCAAAAATCCCATCAAATGTATTCTTCTCTTCAGGCTAAAGGGGTAAGAACACCACATTTCAGACAATCACTTGTTACACATATTTATATATCAAGAGGTGAAACCAGCAACACCAAGTAAAAAGACATATACCTCACCAATTTCTCACTTTCTGAAGTTAAATCAGAGAAAACTTTTCTCGTTTTCGGCCAGTGACTTTAATAAGTAAATGTTTTGTTGTGCATGGAAAATGTGCTTTTTCAAAAACCTTTTGGCTGTAATGTCACAATCAGCAAGCACTGCGTCTAACCTAGCAATCCCAGCAAATTTGCTGGGCCAGTGACTTAAGTTGCAATAGCAGTATTTCCCAACCCTGCTCAACACGTTTTAGGTGTTCCGTGCTTCAGCCCAGCTGATCTGAATTGATGGGAGGTTAACAGGCAATTGCTGAACTGCAATCAGCCGAATCAGGTGTATTAAAGCAGGTAAATATCAAGCCTGGGCCTTTATGATCGATGTCGTTAGATGTTACTTCAATAGTTCTACATATTATTTTCTCATGATGCCATCTGTTTTATGAGGTGTACTAGTTTGTCCTTTACCTCATAGTTAGGAAGGTACAAGCATCCTTGTTTTTCCTCCAAAGGTAACAATGGACATTATAGCCAAAAGTTCCACTCTAGTTTCATCAGACCATGGAACATGTCTTCAAAAATGAAGGTCTTTAACCCACTGTGTAGCTGAAACTGCAATCTGGCTTTTGAAGTAAGGGCTTCTTTCTTTGTTTTAGTTCTGGGGTCAATCTGCACATTTTGGACCAAAATACACTGCTCAAAAAAATAAAGGGAACACTCAAATAACACATCCTAGATCTGAATGAATGAAATAAATATGAAAATAATTTCCACCTGTTGTCTATTCCATTTGCACAACAGCAGGTGATATTGATTGTCAATCAGTGTTGCTTTCTAAGTGGACAGTTTGATTTCACACAAGTTTGATTTACTTGGAGTTATATTGTGTTGTTTGAGTGTTGTCTTTATTTTTTTGAGCAGTTTATATGTATATATATATATATATAAATATATATATATATATATATATATATATATATATATATATATATATATATATAGATAGATAGATAGATATATTTATATATATATATATCTACAACTTAATATTTTACCGTTTTTTTTTTTTTTAAATGATGGAAACATTTTAATCCCGTCCTTCATTTTATAACATGGGCAGGCATTATAAACTTTACGCACATCACAGAGGCAACTAAAATCAACCTTTTCTGAACACTGCACTAAATGTGTCTTTCTGACTAGGAGCTGTCAACGTGCTGAAGAGTTATGGACCAGACTCTTTGGAGTGTCTGGTTAGGAGGCGCATTTCAAATTTTGGCTAAAACTGCGCCTTTAATTACAGACTCTAGTACATATAGAACTGTTAAAACTGCAGGTGAGTCAAGTTTAATTCTTGGAAGTGGAGGAGTGAAATCTGCATTAGTTGTGCAGTGCACTGCATATGTTACCGTCTGATTAACTTCTGCACCTTTATTTCCTCAAGATAAACTGTCGGCTCCTCTCTTTAGACTATAAATGGATTAGCTCAACATTGCATTCTGTATAGTTTTCTCTGTTCTGCATGTAATGGAGTCTGGAATTAAACATGAAATTTTAACCAAAGTTTGCAGTGCCCCTCCTAACCAAACAATCCCAAAGTGTCCGGTCCATAACTCTTCAACACATTGTCAGTTCCACATCAGAAAGTCGCATTTAGTTTAGTGTCCATGAAATGATATTATGAAAGGATTTTTTAAAATTGATTGATTTGAGTTGCCTCTGCTATGAAATCTTTGCGTAAAGTCTATAATGTCTGCCCATGTGCAGCAGTCCAGGAGGTGAATTATGGGGCGTGCGGTGGTGGCGCAGGGGGTTAGCACGCCCCACTTTTGGAGGCCCCAGTCCTCGATGTGGACGTTGTGGGTTAGGGTTAGGTCCCAGCGACCTTTGCCGCATGTCTTCCCCCTTCTCCTTGCCCTCTTTCCTCTATGCCTACTGTCAAAAATACGAGCCACCAGAGCCGCATATACTCTTCGAACAAAGAAAAAAAAAAAAAAGGATGTGAATTATAACCTGTCAAAATGATGGACGGGGTTAAAATTTTCCCATCCATTATTTGTTCACCCTTGTCCCCAGTGGGGTCAGGAGTTGCTGGTGCTTATCTCACAGGGCGCCAGCCTGTCGCAGAGCAAAACAGAGACAAACAGGACAAACAACCATGCACACACACTCACACCTAGGGAGAATTCGGAAAGCCCAATTATCCTGACAGCATGTCTTTGGACTGTGGGAGGAAGCCGGAGTATCCGGAGAGAACCCATGCATGCACAAGGAGAACATGCAAACTCCGTGCAGAAGTCCCCAGGCCAGGAATCGAACCCAAGACCTTCTTGCTGCAAGGTTTTCTTTTCCTACCAACTGCGCCACTGTGCACAGTTGGTAGGAAAAGAAAAACAGCCAAATGCGGAAAATATGGGCAGGCATTATCAAGGACAACTGTTGTTGTCTTTACGTACCTTAACAGCCCACTGCAATTCACAAGACAAAGAGGTTGTGCTGCACAAAGAGGGACTGCTGGTATCCTTCTGTAATCAAACAAATACGTCAACAGGCTTTGCATGTATTGAAAATGCACAAATACACATTCAGATTACACAACAAAAATATATACTACTCATTTGCACTTCCTTGGTATGGAATTTTTCTTTTATTTTAATTTTCATTTATTTTTATGTGCAAAAGAATGAACAAACACAGGGGCAACAGACAATACTATTGTTCACCATTACAATTTACACCATAGTATTTAAATACCTTCTCCTGGGCTGCCTGGACAGGCTGAAAGACTGTATAGGGAAGTCCATTTAGCCTCATAGATTGGGTTATATTAACACACTAGAGGTCTAAGTTGGGCAGACAAGTAATAATCCACCAGGCAAGGAAGACATCCATACCTCCCTGAACTGCAGACAGCTTGTTTCTTTTGTGTTATCTTGCAAAACTTTTGCGTTACCTCACAATAGGTTTTGCATTCTCTCGCAATAATGTACTAATCAGTTCATGCAGCATAACTGAATACTGCAACCCTTCTTCACAGTGGCCATCGTACTTTCAGCTATTAGCATGATATAAGAGATTCGTAAGGTTTTTCCGTGTATCTTAATATCTCGTTGTGAAATATCTGTGTCATGGCGGGTTTAAGTTTCTTAACCCACATGCAGGTTCACGCATCAGACCGGAGAATCCTTGATGCAGAAAGTTTATTTACAATCAGTCTTTAATCTGATTTATTCCTGATTGCTCTCTGGAATCGGGAGTGGCTTGCTTTTTGTCATTTTGTCATACCCCAGTCATGTCTTTATCAAAGCCTGCAGTGAAGAGAAAGGTTGGTGACGAGCACAGACAATTTCAAGAAAAGTGGGAGATGCAGTATTTCTTTGTTGAGCACAGGGGCATCCCCACATGTCTTATTTGCACAGAGAAAGTTGCAGTGCACAAAGAATACAACGTTAAACGCCATTATTCAACTAAACATGCTGAGGAATGTGCAAAATACCAGGGGGATAAGAGAGCCAAGCGGGTTGCCAGTCTTAAAGCATGTCTACTGAGGCAACAAGATTTCTTCAAGAAAGCAACCAAAGAGAATATTGCAGCAGTCGAAGCTAGCTACATGGTTAGTGAGATGATTGCTAAGGCAGGGAAACCATTCAGAAGGCGAGTTTATTAAAAAGTGCATATTACAGGCTGCAAGTATTATCTGTCCGGAAAAGAAAAGTCAGTTTAGCAACATGAGCCTTTCTGCCAACACTGTGGCAGAGCGCATTTCTGACCTGTCAAGTGACATTTATCATCAACTGTGTGAGAAAGCAAAATGTTTTGATGCATACTCAGTCGCTCTTGACGAGAGCACAGACATAACAGACACTGCTCAGCTCACAATTTATGTCCGTGGTGCTGATAGCAATTTTGAAGTGACAGAGGAGCTGCTCACAGTAATTCCAATGCATGGCCAGACCACCGCTATCGAGATATTTCGTCAGCTGTGTGATGCCATTGAGAATGCCGGTTTGTCATGGAAGAAGTTTGTTGGAATAACAACTGACGGCGCGCCATCAATGACAGGGAGGAAAAATGGACTGGTGGCACTTGTTCAAAGAAAACTGGAAGAGGAGGTGTAGAGGAGGCCATTGCTCTGCACTGCATTATCCATCAGCAGGCCCTTTGCAGCAAATGCCTGAGGTGTGACAATGTGATGTCTGTTGTTGTGAATTGCGTCAACCAAATCAGATCCAGGGGCTTAAAGCACAGGAGGTTCCGTGCTTTTTTAGAGGAAATGGAGTCAGAATATGAAGATGTGCTCTATTTCACCGAGGTACGTTGGCTCAGTAGGGGAAATGTCTTGAAAAGATTTTTTGAGTTGAGAGAAGAAGTAAAAGCCTTCATGGAGAAGGATGGGAAGGCTGTTCCTGAGTTGAGTGATCACAAATGGCTCATGGACTTAGCTTTTCTTGTTGACATCACACATGAGCTGAATGTACTGAACAAGAAGTTACAAGGCCAGGGGCAGCTCGTCAGCGCTGCCTATGACAACGTGAGAGCATTCTCCACAAAACTTGTGTTATGGAAAGCCCAGCTCTCTCATACAAACCTTTGCCATTTCCCAGCATGCAAGGCACTTGTGGATGCAGGCACACCATTCAGTGGTGAGATATATGTTGATGCTATTTTGAAGCTACAGAAGGAATTTGATCACAGATTTGCAGACTTCAAGATGCACAGAGCCACTTTTCAAATTTTTGCGGACCCCTTTACCTTTGATGTGCAAGATGCCCCACCTATGCTTCAAATGGAGCTCATTGACCTGCAATGCAACTCTGACCTCAAAGCCAAGTTCAGGGAGATGAGTGGGAAAAGCAGACAAGCATGGGCAATTTTGAGGGAATTGCCCCCCAACTTCCCTGAGCTTTCCCGAATGTTCAAGCGGACCATGCGCCTTTTTGGCAGCACATATTTGTGTGAAAAGTTCTTCTCCACCTTGAACTTCAATAAGTCCAAGTACAGGTCCAGACTTAGTGATGATCATCTTCAAGCCATACTGAGGGTCTCAACTGCTTGCTCTCTCAAGCCAAATGTGGTTCAGATTTGTGAGAAGAAGCGCTGTCAAGTCTCTGGCAGCAAGGAGTAGGCAACAGAAGCCATGTTCAGAAGAACCGTTCATGATTTTCACTCAATGTTCCATTCACGTTCAGGACACTTCATGTTCAGAAGAAATCATTAAAACTGTTAATGACATTTGAGGACTTTTTTTAACTTGTTTTTTGTGGAATCCTTTATGCCGCCCACCCTCACCCAGACTCTGCCTCCAGCGGCCCCCAGGTAAATTGAGTTTGAGACCCCTGCCCTAAGCGAAGGTGGGAGCTTGAGCCTGACTGCAGTGGGATTTATACGTAATAGCCTGGACCTCAAAAAGACCTAAATAATTGGGAGATAGTTTCTTTGGCGCTGCTTTTAGAGCAATGTCTTTAGCTTATAGCCAAACCTTCTGACCCGGTCTGTAAACAGGAGCCGGTTTTCTTTTTCTATCAGCAAAGCGGTGGTTCTGGGCAGCGGTGCGGTGCAAAGCCACAGTAGCATCTTTCCAAATGCGCTGACACTCGCAAATGTGGTGTTGAACCGAAGTGACAATATTCTGTGGTTTGTCTGAAGGTAGGAGGGGAGGCAGATAACCTAGAGAACACTGAAATGGAGATAGGCCAGAAGCGGAGAAAACATGGCAGTTATGGGCATACTCAACCCAGGGCATATCGGAGGACCATGAAGAGGGGTTGGAGGAGCATAGGCAATGAAGCGTAGATTCCATCTCCTGATTCATGCGCTCTGTATGCCCATTGGTCTGAAAGTGAAAACCAGAAGACAAAGACACTTTGGTCCTGAGTGCGCCACAAAAATTCTTCCAGACCCTGGAGATGAACTGGGGCCCCCTGTCAGACAGGATTTCCATAGGAATCCCATGGAGTCTGAAAACATGTTTAACAAGCAAAAGGGCGGTTTCTGTAGCAGCTGGTAATTTTCTAAGGGGCACAAGGTGACAGGCCTTGGAGAAACGCTCAAGGATGGTGAGTATGACAGGCTGGTAACAAAATCGAGCGCAATATGGGACAATGGGCGTCCAGGAACAGGTAAGGGCTGCAAAAGACCACTGGGAGATTGATGGTGAGACTTGTTTTTAGCACAGGTAGAACAGGCTGAAACATATTCCCTCACATTCTTACCAAGGGATGGTCACCAAAAGGAAAGCCTGATTAATGCTGTGGTCCGACTGGTGCCAGGGTGGCCAGAAAAACGAGAAGCATGGGCCCAATGGATTAAATGGGAGTGAACCGAAAGAGGAACATAGGTTCGGTCAGGGGGACCGGTAACAAGATCAGGATCGGACTGCTGAGCTCTGATGACCTGGTCAGAGATGTCCCAGGAGACCTAACTATGATGTCAATGACCGGACTCTCATCGTCAGAGGACAATTGCAGAGAAAGAGCGTCCAGTTTCACATTCTTTGAGCCGGGCCTGTCAGAAATGAGAAAATTGAACTGAGAAAAAAAAAGAGACCATTTTGACTGTCGAGGATTCAACCGTTTGACCATTTGCAGGTAGGGCAAGTTCTTGTGATTTGTCCATACCACTATCGGAAGCTCAGCTCCCTCCAGCCAGTGGCGCCACTCTTCAAAAGCCAGTTCAATAGCCAACAACTCACAATCCCCTACGTCACAGTTCCTCTCCGAAGGGGACAGGCGGCGAGAAAAAAAGGTGCCTGGGTGCAGTTTGTGACGAGAAGGCGAGATCTGAGATAAAACCCGCCCTCACCCCTGAATCGGAGGCATCCACCTTCAATGTGAATCGGTGATGGGGTCAGGCTGAAACAGAACCAAGCTGTTAGCAACTTTCTCTTTCAGAACTGAGAAAGCTGCTTCCACTTCTGGAGTCCAGGAAAACTGAGACTTGGTGGACTAGTCATGGGCTCTAAAAATTAGCGAACCCCAAAAATTGTTGCAGTTGTTTTCAGGAGGATGGGGTTGGCCAATCCACAACTGCGCGAATCCTCCCAGGATCCGGCTTCAAGATGGCTTCCCCTGCTTCAGAGGAACAAGATGGAAGATATGTGAAACTCACACTTCTCCGCTTTAACGTACAAATTGTTTTCTAGAAGGCGTGTAGGACCAACCTGACATGCTGTTTGTGTTCCGTCATGGTTTTAGAAAAGATCAAAATGTCGTCGAGGGTAAACAAACACAAACCGATCCACAAAATCATGGAACACATCATTGATCAGTGATTGGAAAACCGCAGGGGCGTATGTCAAACCGAAAGGCATGACTCGATACATAGACATAAATGTGCAGTAAATAAATCGATTTTAAATCAGCTTTTTGCACCAAAAAGTTAAGAATAATTATGTTTTCACTGATGCTTTTCATATGTGTATATATTTAAAATTTACATTTGTGACTGTGTACAAAGTAGACCAGCAAATACTGCAGTAAATGTATTGCGAGGTAACACAAAAGAAATTTTTGCCCATGTCTGCTTGGAGTGATTAACAAAAGAGCCAAACGTAAGGCAACAAACTGCCTTACGAGTTTGTTGCAACTACGAGATTGTTGCGTAGCTGCAACAAACTCACTGGGATCGATCCTTATCCGCTCCCCAACAGGAATCTATAACAATGTCTGGTGTGGATGATCTAATTCCTCTACAGCGCCCACTAAAAAACTAACCAACCCCAAACCATGTCCAATAGTGACATGAGCTTTGCTCCGCCCATATTAAACAGGAAATGACCTGTTTATTTCTGCTGGTTGTCTTAATTTGACTTTTTATTTTTAAGGGTTCAAACCTGTGCCAAAATGATGAATCCTATCAGCACTGGCTGGTGTTGATAGGACACCAGTTGCAACCTTACAGGTCTGACTGAATGGCAAATTTCAATCCCTCGCTGATTGCCTATGTTTGGCTCTAGATCCAGGGGTGGAAATTAGCACCCACCACTGGCCAAATGCAGGTTAAAGTATGAATTAGCGTGTAAATTGGTGCAATGCAGCCGCCACTATGGCAGGTTGACATTTTTTACAGTAAAAAACAACCCACTGAATTCAGTTTGAACTTCTCTCCATGGGAGGAGTGGCTGACTGACTCTAGACTGATGCACATACTCCAGAGCAGTCCTAAGGCTGTCATAATTTAACAAAAAAATATATCAAATATCATTTTTATCGACCGCGACAGCCCATTGATTTCATTGACGGCCTTTGGACTTATCTAATGAAATCCTACGGTTCTCCTTGGCCCGCTATTTACAAAAATGTCTGAGTGGAAATGTCTGATGACATTTCATTCTGGAAACTTATTTCCAGAAAATAATGTTAATTTCCACCCCGGTCTAGATCACACATGCATCATCTGATTTGCACCAAACTGTATGTATGACCTTTGTAAAGCTCTAAAGAGACCGATAGTATTATCGTGAAATTTGGCTCAACCTTGGCTCCTACTTTTTTGCAATAGTTGTATGTCTTAGTACATCATCCCATCAGCTCCACAGCTTTCTTTTACATCATCAAGGAACATTGCTGCACAAATTGGTGTGGTAATTTATGACATCACAAAAGACCCACCCACTCAGAGAAGATGCTGAAGATAATGTAGATAATATGGTGACTTATAATGCTTCCACCTGCATGTTTCATAAGATTGAAACTCAGGGTGGTCCCCAGTGTATTACAAGTCGATTCGCCATGCTTTACTATTCCCCTGCCAGACAACCCGTTGCTTGTTTTTGTTTTTCAGAAAATATAATAATAATAATAATAAATTAAAGCCGCAAGCGGCGTTAGAGGCCCTTGCACCCTCACGGCAACCGCAGAGGTTCCAGCAATGTCACGCTCTCACCACCACTCCCCGCAGCCAGAGGGAAGTCAAGTCTTCACACCGCTGAAAGGGAGGCGGGACACCTTGCCCTAAACTCTGGTTCCTGACTTGATCGCTGCTCTGCACTCAGCCCAAAAGATCTCAAGATTGCCGCAACAGACTTGGGAATTAGACAAAGGTCACTCAAGTGATGAAGATCTGGATGTTTGGAAGATAACAACCAGCTTTGCTTTGTTTCTATTCAAAAGAGGATTTGTCATACGAAGACAAGACTCTGTCCAAGGACACTAAAGCCTTCTGTTGCTGAGATCCTTCATCATTTGGGTATGACTCTGCCTGCACCCCAAAGGCTTGCTTAGTAAATTGTAAATTGGCTCACAAGCCCAGAGGAGTTGTGAGGTTTAGAGCAAGGGTGGCAATTGCGCAATAATGGACAAAGCCAAGTTTGTCGCTCTGCCATGCCCCCTGAACATGTACGAAAAGTCAATTTTTTTTCAAACTTTTAAAACTCCATGCCTTATCTGCATTTTGACCGAGAATGAAGCCAATAGGTCAAAATATCTAGGAGGAGTTTGTTAATGTTTGACGTGAGCAAAAGTGTAAAATGACCAAAATTTGGGTCCTTTGACCCATGCAAAGGGAGGTTGCTCCCTGTGCATTTTAAGGAGTACCTTAAAATGTTTCGTTCATCTTTGTGAACAAAACATTATGCACCCTTTACATCTCAACACTCTGTCCAGCATGCTGATCTGTGTCTGTCTTCCCTGTAAACTTTATGTATGTGATCCCGGTTGACCAGTGTGTTGGTGGTTTACAAACCAGCACTAATCTCATCATGCAGGTTCAGCCCACTGAGGAGCTTTTGTGCTCACGTCATAGTAACACATCACGCTGGTTTTATATTATTTTATTCTTATTTTTAGTATCATTTTTGTGGCAACACAATGCATCAAACCATATGAAATGCTTTATTCACTTACAGACAGACTGAGTTAATGCGCGCAGCTGCACAGATACCAGAGAATCTCGTTCCACAAACTTGAGCAATCAAAATAGTTTCTGTTTCTATTAAAACTCGACACAAAATGGAAGAGCTACAAAAGCCACATTAAAACCACTTAATTAAATATCCCATTTGTTGCAACTCTGTGTGCAGTGCAGCTATTCAACTCATCATGCAGGGCCAGTCAAAGGCTGTATGAGGACTTGATCAGAATTTGACCTAAGGATCCCTCTTGCTGTGAAAAACAGCTTCTATGTTAGATTTAGTGAAATCTGGGAGAGGGGGAGTAGTTTAATTGGCCAACCTAAAAAGCGATCAGTTTTAAGTGCATAAACAATATGACTTCCTTTAAACATTCCTGAATACAAAAACCTGGAAAACAGAATCTTCTGACATGTTTGGTTTGAGCAATAAAAGATTTATTGAAAATGACCTTACAGTGGCGGTCTGTCTATGGGCTTCATGGGCAGTTGCCCAGGGTGACATCAGAAAGGTGTGGGGCACCAAAAACTAGAAAATAAAATATATCTTATCTATCAATTGTCTGCTGAACAAGTTTGCTACTACTTGTATACATGTATAGTGAAGTACGTTTCTCTAAGTTGCTGGTGACTACTGGGAGCATCACCTTTTTCATGCTGCAAAAAAAAGATTACAATTACTTTTAAATGGTTGGAGTGTAGCAGAAAAGTGGCTTGACCAGGGCACCATTCCAGAGAACCCATAACTGTGACTATATTTACATTTCAAGTTTACAAAGTTAGAAATAGTGATTAATCATGATTAATCACAGTGCCAGAGAGTGGTTAATCTGATTTAGATTTTGTAATCGATTGACCGCATTAGTTTTAAGATAACAATAGGTTGTGTTGGCACATCTTGAGCTTTAATAAGTAACTTTTTATTAGTGGAATGAAACAGGGTTGTTTCTGTAGATTTTACTCTGACTTTTCATGCAGAGGTGGGTTGATATGTAAAGTATTTTTTCTTATTTATTTCCTTTTACACTTTGTTGAAGATCATTACATTTCTTAAGATCTAAACCTTCCAATTTAAACAAGGCTGAAGACTTAGTCATAACAAAAGAATGAAAAACAGTGTGCTATGAAGATCATTTCACTTACAAACTGTGGAGGAGGGACTGTTTGGTTGGTGCTAGAAACACTGACTTCCTGACCACTCTGCGCACAGGCCACCAAACGGAGAGCAACATAAAATCCCTGGAAGAGAAAAAAAATATATATATATATATCAGCTGCAACCTAGTAATGATATTGCCAAAAGAAAAACAAATTGCACATTTCTTACTGAAATGTGTATTTGAATATGAAATACATTGTTAGGATCTGGGTTTCTGAAAGTGTTTCTCCCCATTGGCTCTCTGCTGGGAGTGGCCTGAAGCAGAGCTCCACACCTCACCTCTCTGCCAGATGATTACTCCCTCACAGTATAAGCCTGATCCCCCAAACCCATAATCCCACCTCTGAATCTCACATCCCTGCCCTCTCCAGCCCACAGTTGATTCCTGTCGGAGATACTTACCTTGGACCTCCCGATTGGTTGCCCAGCCCCTTTTTACCTCCCATTGGGAAGCCTTCCAGGAGACGTAAGCTAATTTCTCCTGCTGTCCTATCATTCTGCCCACCTCTCGCACAGTCATTGACATATCTCTTTGATTCCAGACGAGCCCCGGACCCGATCCAAAGAATCACCAGCAAGACACCAGTAATTGTATTTTGTAAATAAATTCTTAACTTACTGTTGCTTCCTGAGTCTAATTCTGCATGTGGGTCAGAAGCCTACCCTTGAACATGACAGAATCATCCAGCCAGCAGTCTGACCCAACAGAATCTTCTCCAGAGCCGTTAGTACAGTGGTCCCCAACCCCCTGGGCCGCAGACCATTACCGGACTGCACAAGAAATAATTAAATATTTCCTTTGTATGTATTATGTGAGTCTGGAGGAGCTTTTATTTTTTGAAAATCTTTTAACTGGATTCCCTCGGTTACATCTCTCATGCCATCATTGAGCCACAAGCAGCAAAATGAGTCAGAAACAAATCAGATTCTTTGGAAAGTTTCTTTGCAAAGGGGAAAAGGCCCAGAGAAGAGACAAGAGAATGAATTTATCCAGGTACCTCACCAACCTGCGATAGGTGACCAGCTTGTTAATGAGGCAATGAAGTCTTCAAACTGCTTCGCGACTTAGAGAACAAGAATACCCTGTGCATCACTTCGGGAGTTATTGTTTCCGTTCACTTCCAGATGGGACCGTCTCGTTGCAGAGAAACAATCTCAGGGCTCCCATTGATTTGTATTTATCACGAGTTAAAATTTTCATAAAAGTAAATGTTTGTTTATCTTACTTTGAAGGGATATGTAAACGTTATCATAGTGACCAGAGTAAGACAATGTTAGGCCAGTCCGGATGGTCTTTAGGCGCATGTTGGAGAAACAGTTGTACGTCAAAGCAGAGAAATGCGAGTTTCACACCTCTTCCCTTCCCTTGAGAGCGGGCTGGTAAAGTCAGACCCAGAAAAGATTCAAGCTGTTCTTGACAGCCCCACTTCCTCGTCCCATAAACAGGTGCAACGGTTTTTGGGTTTTCCCAATTTTTACCACCGATTCATCAGGAATTATAGTCAGTCTGCCCTACCACTTACCAGTCTAACATCCATTAAGAAACCATTTGTCTGGTCCTCTAAGGCTAACAAATTCTTTAATGGTGAAAGGTCTTCCACTGTTCCTATTCTCATTCAGCCAGATCCATCCAGACAATTTATTATGGAGGTTGATGTCTCAGAGACTGGGGTATGGCTGTTCTCTCTCAAAGTTCCCCACAGACAACAAGCTCCATCCTTGTGCCTTTTTGCCCATCGTTTATCTCAAGCTGAGAAATTATGATGTGGGGACAAGGAACAGTTTGCCATCAAATTAGCTTTAGAAGAGTGGCAACAATGGTTAGAGGGGGCCAAACATCCCCCTGCAGGACTGACCACAAGAAGCTTCAACCCAAGACAGTCGCGTTGGTCTCTTTTTTTCTCTCGTTTCAACTTCATCATTTCTTATAGACCTAGTTCCAAAAATGTTAAATACAATACTCTCTCTAGATAGTTCTCCCGAGACCATGACAAAACCATCGCTAACATTATCCCTCAGCCTTGTGTAGTTGGGGCCATCTGTTGAGACATCCAAAGGGACATTCAAGAAGCCCAAACACTTGAACCAGTGTTGGGACCTCCTAACAGAATCTATGTTCCTTCCGCAGTCAGATCAAGATTCCTCCACTGGGCTCGCACTGCTAAATTCTCCTGTCATCCTGGAGGCAACCGCATGCTTGCACTGATCCGTCGTTCCTTCTGGTGGCCAAACCTTTATGCCAGTGTTAACAGTTATGTAGTAGCTTGTCCAGTCTGTGCCAGAAGTAAGGCCTGCAATCAGCTCTCCAGTGGCTACTCCAACATCTCGCCATTCCAGGACTCCTGTGGTCTCACATAGCCCTCGACTTTGTTGCTGGTTTGCCATTTTCCTTACTATAATGGATGATTTTTGAAAGGTTTGTCACCTCATCCCATTACAAAAATTTCCCTCCCCGCAAGAGACTGCTCAACTCCTCATTAAACATGTTTTTTGTCTCCATGGAACCCTCCTTGAAATCCTGTTTGACGAATCCCAGACCCGATCCAAAGGATCACCTGCAAGACACCTGTACTTGTATTTTGTAAATAAATTCTTAACTTACTGTTGCTTCCTGGGTCTGATTCTGCATGTGGATCAAAAGCCTACCCTCGAACGTGACATATATATTGGATAGTTGAAAAAAGATGAACATTGATTTTAATATGAACATGTTTTCATATTAAGATGTTTGATAATAATTTATCTTCATTAATAAAAAATAAACACACGTTTTTTTGTAACTCTGACGGGGTGTGCATAAAACTGACATGACAATGTAATAAACATGACAAAACACCTGTCAACATGAGTAAGTCTTCATGAATATTTATGACTGTTATGAAGTGGACCTAAAGAGGAACGATCTAAAATCAATGCACAGCTTCAGTTATTACAACTAAAAACCAGCGATCAGCCCGAAACCTGGGAGTAGTGATGACCTCTGACCTGAACCTTGCGAGCCACATAAAGACAGTTACAAAGTCGGCCTTCTATCACCTGAAGAACATCTCCAGGATTAGAGGACTAATGTCTCAGCCAGATCTAGAGAAACTCATCCATGCGTTTATCTTTAGTCACATTGATTATTGTAACAGCGTCTTCACAGGCCTGTCCAACAAATCAATCCTCCAGCTGCAGCTGATCCAGAAGCTGCTGCTCCTGTTCTCACTAAAACCAGGAAGATAGAGACATAACAGCAGTTTTAAAGTCCCTCCACTGGCTCCCTGTAGCTCAAAGAATAGATTTTAAAATACTGTTGTTAGTTTATAAATCACTGAACGTTTTAGCACCACAATACATCAAAGATCTGCTGTTGTTGTATCAACCTTCCAGACTCTCAGGTTCTGGTTCTGGTTCTGCTCTGCATCCCCAGAACCAGAACCAAGAGAGGAGAAGCAGCTTTCAGCATCTATGCACCAAAAGTTTGGAACAAACTGTAAAACAGCAGAAACCCTGACTTCCTTTAAATGTCAACTAAAGAGAGATGAATAAAGTAACTATGCAACTCTGGGTTCCTCAGAGCGGATCCTAATTTGTGCCTAATGCAGTGGATTTCTTGCTCTCCGTCTGCAGATGTATTAAAGATTGTTCTTGCTCCCTGACTTTTGTCTGGACCTCACTCTGAATTGTGCACTTCACAAACTTTAGAAGTTAATAAAAGAATCTTAAAATCTTTCGATAAAAGACGGCTCCAGGCAGCACTGCTGAGCTGAAGCCAGGGCTCAACACAGGTAGCAACTGGAACATGATCGACGGACTGAAGCACACAAAAACAGACGCCAAAATGAGACGAGGACCCGTGCTGTAAGGACACAGGTGGGGTTAAATACACTAAGGGAAATCATGGAAACAAGACACATCTGGGAATAATCAAGAGGAGCCAGGACAACACGGAGACTCAGGGACACAAAAATGAACACAGAAAAACAGATCCTGACATTTTCATCATTTATTTAAATACCATTCCAAAAATGTCCCTTGCTGCACACTGTCAGAATGGTAAGCTGGCAGAAAAATGTCTTGTTAACATGACCGGTTGGTATAAAGTGCAATACAATTATTTCTTAATACAAGTAGCACAATGAGTAGAGATGAACAAAATTATTCTGATCAAATATTTGTTTGGCAGACGTTCATACAGCCTGTTGTTATTCAGAATGCATCATTTAATATATAGTTTCAGCCACATGAATGTATCTTTTCACTTAATGGGCATTCAGAATTATTTCCAACCAGATACTCAGGCTAATGGCTTAAGATGTTTATTAGACTGCTTGCTGCCTCACCGCCTCACACCTGAGCTTATGACAGTAGAGTACTCGGAGGAAACACTAGAAGACTCGCAGGGGGTACTAGGAGGCTAGGAAAGGGCACTAGGAGGCCCAAATGGAGAACTAGGAAGCTCTGGAGGGACAAAAGGGTGACATCCACTAACTGGGGTTGATAAGCCACTGACTAGGCCAGGAGGCTTGGGCGTGCCGGTTGGAGCGCCGGCTGGAGCGCCGGTTGGAGTGTGAGCTGCGCCAGCTATGGGAGCAAAGGCTGCAGCTATCTCTGGAGCAGGAGGAGGCGCTGGTCCCGGAGATGCTGGAGATGGGCTGGCGGAGAGATGGTCTGGCTTGGGAGGCAAAGGATTGCTTTTCAGCATGGCAATCGCTGTCAGGTGCTCCCACTCTGCCTCCTGCAGCAATTCCGCCAGCCCCAGATGCGGAAGACACGGGACCCAGTAATCCAACATACGGACCATGCGTGTGGTAATTCCCAGGTGCTGACGAGCGGAATAAGGTTTTGCCACCTCCTCCACGTGATCCTTGATTGTTTCTTTTAATCCAGCTGGATCCATTATTGTAGCGAGCCTCACCTCACTCAGTTTAGTTGGGTCCTTCTATCATGTTTTGCAGTGTGAGGTGGTGAGACGGCACGCTGTAGGCCCAGGTAGAAGTGGAATGAAGGTTTAATGACGTGTAAACAGTACAGATGATCCAAAAAACAGTCCTAATTCCCAGTCAGCACTGCTGAGCGGAAACCAGGGCTCAAACAC